GATTTAAAATTACCTTAAGGGAGGGAATAAATCGTTATTACAACTTCATTTGTGTTTGTGGTTGATTCAATACGTGACAGAGGGTAACTACTGAAGTAATACAGTTGAGAAAAACTACTGGAGTAATACAGTTGAGGGTTACTACTGTAGTAATACAGTTGAGGGTAACTACTGAAGTAATACAGTTGAGAAAAACTACTGGAGTAATACAGTTGAGGGTAAATACTGGAGTAATACAGTTGAGGGTAACTACTCAAGTAATACAGTTGAGGGTTACTACTGTAGTAATACAGTTGAGAGTAACTACTGAAGTGATACAGTTGAGGGTAACTACTGAAGTAATACAGTTGAGGGTTACTATTGAAGTAATACGGTTGAGTGTAAGTACTGGAGTAATACAGTTGAGGGTAATTACAGGAGTAATACAGTTGATGGTTATTACTGAAGTAATACAGTTGAGAATAACTACTGGAGTAATACAGTTGAGGGTAAATACTGGAGTAATACAGTTGAGGGTTACTACTGAAGTAATACAGTTGAGGGTAACTACTGGAGTAATACAGTTGAGGGTTACTACTGGTGTCATACTGTTGAGGTTAACTACTGAAGTAATACAGTTGAGGGTTACTACTGTAGTAATACAGTTGAGGGTAACTACTGGAGTAATTCAGTTGAGGGTAACTACTGGAGTAATACAGTTGAGGGTAATTACAGGAGCAATACAGTTGAGAATAACTACTGGAGTAATACATTTGAGGCTAACTACTGACGTAATACAATTGAGAATAACTACTGGAGTAATACATTTGAGGCTAACTACTGACGTAATACAGTTGAGAATAACTACTGGAGTAATAGAGTTGTGAGTAACTTCTGGAGTAATACAGTTGAGGGTTACAACTGGAGTAATACAGTTGAGGGTAAATACAGTTGAGGGTTACTACTGGAGTAATACAGTTGAGGGTAAATACTGGAGTAATACAGTTGAGAGTAACTACTGGAGTAATACAGTTGAAAATTACTACTGGAGTAATACAGTTGAGGGCTACTACTGGAGTAATACAGTTGAGGGTAACTACTGAAGTAATACAGTTGAGGGTAACTACTGAAGTAATACAGTTGAGGGTAACTACTGAAGTAATACACTTGAGGGTAACTACTGGAGTAATACAGTTGAAAATTACTACTGGAGTAATACAGTTGAGGGTTACTACTGTATCCATACAGTTGAGCTTAACTACTGGAGTAATACAGTTGAGGGTAACTACCGGAGTAATACAGTTGAAAATTACTACTGGAGTAATACAGTTGAGGGCTACTACTGGAGTAATACAGTTGAGAATAACTACTGGAGTAATACAGTTGAGGGTAAATACTGGAGTAATACAGTTGAGAGTAACTACTGGAGTAATACAGTTGAAAATTACTACTGGAGTAATACAGTTGAGGGCTACTACTGGAGTAATACAGTTGAGGGCTACTACTGGAGTAATACAGTTGAGGGTAACTACTGAAGTAATACAGTTGAGGGTAACTACTGAAGTAATACACTTGAGGGTAACTACTGGAGTAATACAGTTGAAAATTACTACTGGAGTAATACAGTTGAGGGTTACTACTGTATCCATACAGTTGAGCTTAACTACTGGAGTAATACAGTTGAGGGTAACTACCGGAGTAATACAGTTGAAAATTACTACTGGAGTAATACAGTTGAGGGCTACTACTGGAGTAATACAGTTGAGGGTAACTACTGGAGTAATACAGTTGAGAGTAAATACTGGAGTAATACAGTTGAAAATTACTACTGGAGTAATACAGTTGAGGGCTACTACTGGAGTAATACAGTTGAGGGTAACTACTGGAGTAATACAGTTGAGGGTAACTATTGAAGTAATACAGTTGAGGGTTACTACTGGAGTAATACAGTTGAGGGTTACTACTGGAATATTACAGTTGAGGGTTACTACTGGAGTAATACAGTTGAGGGTAACTACTGAAGTAATACAGTTGAGAGTAACTACTGAAGTAATACAGTTGAGGGTAACTACTGAAGTAATACAGTTGAGGGTGACTATTGAAGTAATACGGTTGAGTGTAAGTACTGGAGTAATACAGTTGAGGGTAATTACAGGAGTAATACAGTTGATGGTTACTACTGAAGTAATACAGTTGAGAATAACTACTGGAGTAATACAGTTGAGGGTAAATACTGGAGTAATACAGTTGAGGGTTACTACTGGAGTATAACAGTTGAGGGTTACTACTGGTGTAATACTGTTGAGGGTAACTACTGTAGTAATACAGTTGAGGGTAACTACTGGAGTAATACAGTTGAGGGTAACTGCCGGAGTAATACAGTTGAGGGTAATTACAGGAGCAATACAGTTGAGAATAACTACTGGAGTAATACATTTGAGGCTAACTACTGAAGTAATACAGTTGAGAATAACTACTGGAGTAATACATTTGAGGCTAACTTCTGAAGAAATACAGTTGAGAATAACTACTGGAGTAATACAGTTGAGGGTTACAACGGGAGTAATACAGTTGAGGGTAAATACAGTTGAGGGTTACTACTGGAGTAATACAGTTGAGGGTAAATACTGGAGTAATACAGTTTAGAGTAACTACTGGAGTAATACAGTTGAAAATTACTACTGGAGTAATACAGTTGAGGGCTACTACTGGAGTAATACAGTTGAGGGTAACTACTGAAGTAATACAGTTGAGGGTAACTACTGAAGTAATACACTTGAGGGTAACTACTGAAGTGATACACTTGAGGGTAACTACTGGAGTAATACAGTTGAAAATTACTACTGGAGTAATACAATTGAGGGTTACTACTGTAGTAATACAGTTGAGGGTAACTACTGGAGTAATACAGTTGAGGGTAACTACTGGAGTAATACAGTTGAGGGTAATTACAGGAGTAATACAGTTGAGAATAACTACTGGAGTAATACAGTTGAGAGTAACTATTAGAGTAATTGAGTTGAGACCTACTATTGGAGTCATACAGTTGAGAATAACTACTGGAGTAATACAGTTGAGAAGAACTACTGAAGTAATATTGTTGAGAGTAACTATTAGAGTAATTGAGTTGAGACCTACTATTGGAGTAATACAGTTGAAAATAACTACTTGAGTAATACAGTTGAGAATAACTAATTGAGTGATTGAGTTGAGACCTACTATTGGAGTAATTGAGTTAAGACCTACTATTGGAGTAATACAGTTGAGAATAACTACTGAAGTAATACAGTTGAGAATAACTACTGAAGTAATACAGTTGAGAGTAACTATTAGAGTAATTGAGTTGAGACCTATTATTGGTGTAATAAAGTTGAGAATAACTACTGGAGTAATACAGTTGAGAATAACTACTGAAGTAATATCGTTGAGAGTAACTATTAGAGTAATTGAGTTGAGACCTACTATTGGAGTGATACAGTTGAAAATAACTACTGGAGTAATACAGTTGAGAATAACTATTAGAGTGATTGAGTTGAGACCTACTATTGGAGTAATTGAGTTAAGACCTACTATTGGAGTAATACAGTTGAGAATAACTACTGATGTAATACAGTTGAGAATAACTACTGAAGTAATACAGTTGAGAATAACTACTGAAGTAATACAGTTGAGAGTAACTATTAGAGTAATTGAGTTGAGTCCTACTATTGGAGTAATACAGTTGAGAATAACTACTGGAGTAATACAGTTGAGAATAACTACTGAAGTAATATCGTTGAGAGTAACTATTAGAGTAATTGAGTTGAGACCTACTATTGGAGTAATTGAGTTAAGACCTACTATTGGAAATAATACAGTTGAGAATAACTACTGGAGTAATACAGTTGAGAGTAACTATTGGAGTAATTGAGTTGAGACCTACTATTGGAGTAATACAGGTGAGGCTTACTGTTGGAGTAATACAGGTGAGGGTACTGTTGGAGTAATATAGTTTAGGCTTACTGTTGGAGTAATATAGTTGAGATTTAGCATTGGAATAATACAGTTGATGGTATCTATTAGAGTAATACAGTTGAGAGTTACTGCCAGTAATATGTGCGTGGGGTCAAGTGACACACGGAGACATAACAGTAGATGTGCTTCTTCCAGGCTGTGTGGTTTGTCCTTGGAAACGTGCGGGAAGATTAACCCTGGCAATTGAGGGTATTACTCTTACGTAATATATATCCTATTGTATTACCCCAGGACGCATGGTGGGTCTCCCAGGGGACGTGTTCACTGACCCACACAAGCGGAACATGAGTGATGTATGTAGGCGAATCATGTATGTGCTTACTCGCCGAGGGCTGTATTAGTCGGTATTCGGGGCATCTGTACAGTACACGTTGAGGCGTGCGTTGTTGGCGATAGTCACATTGTCTTACATACATGTGTAGGGACATCTTTAAGTGGCAGTTTAGAAGCTGTGGCATCAATGAAGTCAGGGAAGACATGGATTTTATTGAAGAGGGGGTTGACTTACAGCATTGAAAGAAGTTGCGGTCCATAAGTCAACTCTGTCTTCGTGACAGGTGGAATGTCCTGACAATGATGTTCCCTTGCATCAAACGCTGGAGAAACCACAAAGGTACTCATTAATTGGACTGAACTGAAACAAGGATGTACTAGGTCTATTGCAATTTTATGTCAAGAGTAAACAGAGAATTTTGATAATTTGGACCCCTCCCTTTTTAAAAATGCTGAATCCGCATTTGAATAATATCAGATGATGACGGTGATTAATTGCAGTTTCGTGATTCTGTCGTGTTGTTGAATATTTGCAGAAAGGCAGAACTGTGCTAATAGAACTAAGTATGTATTTAGTCAAGTTCAGTTCACAACCAGGGATTTTAAACTTGGTAAGCGTAGACACGAAACGTAAATGCAAGCACATCTATGGGGCCGTTATAGAACAGTTAACTCTACTGTTAACTGGCTTTGTGCTCAATGAAAACATAAGAGTTGTCGCCCTTCTCTCCTGCGTACATACCTGTCCACCAGGTGGTGCAGTAACTGCGTCCAAGTAGTGACGGGCGCGACCACAACCGGATGATGAGAAGGCTTACTTTGTGTGTCCTGTTTGTTTTGTGACGTCCAGCAGTTCTGAGAGATCATCACGATTACCTTGCTGAGGTAAGTGTGTCCTCATTCATTATACAATAGTGTTGATTAGCTTGTTTGTTGTACTTATCTTAATTGGTTGAAGCCCAGACGCTGGTCCTTTACCTGTGAAGGAAATCCAGGTCAGCTTTTCACTCGCTGTGTATGACGATAACGGGTTCGGTGAAGGGGGACTGGTGGGGGGAGGGGTGGGGTATAAATTTAACTTGAAACCTTGTTTCAGTTTTATTTACCTGTCGCCTTAAGCATGCTCAGCTGGGTTTTTTTACATTATGTTTCAGAAGTGGAAACTTTATGTATAAACAATGCGTGATTTGTTGGTGGTTTAGTTTGTTTGAAATGTGACTGCAGTGGTACCTTCGTGGTTATTTATGTATCTTGCTTGGGATTGCAGCTCGACAAACAGTAGCACAACGACAAACCTGCAGGCGAGAAACCCAGGTGTGAACAGCATCCAGGATAAGTGTACCCGCAGAATAGGCCCTTTTGACTAGCTGCGCTCACTCATGTGAAGCCGGGCGACCAGGGTCACATTCTTGCCGAGGTCGTCTGCCTGAGAACCGTGATGGCTGACAAGCAGAAACTGTGGCTGTGGATTTTACCCGCTGTCCTGCTGATAGCACCCAGGGGGCAGTCTGTTTCCTGGACACAGATAGGTAAGACGTGACACCGTACCTGCGCGCATGTACCACATGCACATATCGTACATCGCTTAACACGTACAGACAATTATCGCCCAGTTCGCCCGGTATCCCCGTCAGCGCAACATAACGTCTTCACAACACATCTTCAAGTATAACTGACACTTATCAAACTGATCAAAGACTATAATAATCATGATAATATTCCACCCTGAGACTGGAACGATGTATACAAGCTGTATTTGATAGTTAGGTTTTGTTCTATGTAAACTTTATTTCGTGTTTTTCCACAGTACACGCATGTGCATCCAGTTGTAAGGGTGAACATTTGCCCAGGAATGGAAATGTACTGCTGGCTTTATTACCATATTTTCATCAAGGGGCGGACAGACGGACAGATAATTTGTTTTCGTTTCACCATCATTAAGAAAACATCCATCTAATATGAGTTTATACATAAAAATAATAATACAGTACCACCCATATAAAGTTATGAGAGACGATACTAAACTAAATGATATATACAGATAAAAATATTCAACAATATAACAAATGTTTTCTGCATTGTTAAATTAAAAAAACAGTTTTTTGCAGCGAAATATATTCACATCTATCTTGGGGCATCTATCTGTCAATGATATATATTTACATACCATATGCATGATCGTACCTTGAGTAATCCAAATAACATTCCGCCAACAGTCAGCATAGCACAATGACAGTGATAGGCCCTACAAATGTACAACTGTTGATAATCTTTAGTGGCATTTATTCGGTCACTAGGTCACAATAATGCAAATACTTCATGATCTAACAGAGACTGATATATTGATATCTACCTACCCAACGCACCCTGACAACATCCTAGTTTGGTACAAGTGACATACAATAATTTATGACTAACTTGTGATAAATATACCCTCGGGGACGGGCATTTTTTCTGTTTTCTATGAGTAAATCGTGAGTGAGATACCTTGGTAATGTTAATAGCTAACAGATTGACGTTGTTCAGGTCTGCATACGGCCAGTACACGAGGAGGGGGTAACTTTAGGAAGTAAAGGGGCAGTTATACGCTGATTAGCACCCCTCGGCCTTCATTAGAGGGCATTCAGCAGGACCCCAATGGGTGTTACCGCCAGGGGTAATTACGACAGGTGCGGTGGTTTTAGTCTCCCTCATTCATTTATTCCATGTTTTGGTCATGACCCCAAGTTTACCTTTGAATCTGTTCCTGGTTACACATTCCGGTGCAAGTGGCTAATGGATGTGCTGGTCGTGTTTATATGCGACATGTGAGTATGATTATACAGTTTCTGTATTCCACCCTATCCCACCCCACGTAACACTGTGACACGAAGTGGCCCAAAAACATCATTGTCCCGAGTTATTTATTTTTGAATGATAGCAACAAATATGTGTAATGGTAATAAGTTTGTGTCATACACCTGTTTTGTTTATATCTTGAAAGCATTATAAAGATTATCGCCATACAGTGAAACTTGTCTCACAGTATTGTCCAATAGCCACATGACTATTGTGGGCTGTGATCATCAAGCGTGACCAGGTGCTGCAGTCAGTCATTAAAACCCGAGCTGCATTGTGCAACACAGCCAAAGAACCGGCTAACCTAACCGGAATAAATTACCCAAAGTTGGACAGGGGCCGCCATGACACAGCTTCCCTGCACACTGCCATAGAGATGTACATTACTCCCACTTTCATCTATATGGGTAGTGTTTCCTATTCTTCAGTATTTTTTTCAAATTTTGTTTGTTGTTTAACGCCGCACTCAGCAATATTTCAGCTAGATGACGGTGGTCTGTAAATAATCGAGTCTGGACAAGACAATCCAGTGATTAACATCATGAGCATCGATTATCGAAATTGGGATACCATGACATGTATCAACCAAGTCAGCGAGCCTGACCACCCGACCCCGTTAGTCGCCTCTTACGACAAGCAAAGTCGCTTTTTACGGCAAGCATGCGTTGCTGAAGACCTATTCTACCTGGGATCTTTATGGGATCAGTAGCACGTTTGGACCGTGTGCGAATGTCCTGCCCAAAATGGTTCCAATCACATCACTAACACCATGCTCCCTTTATTGCTTGTCGTGTGACTTCCTACATGAGTATGTCGACGTACGTACCCCATCGGCGTGAAGCGTTGTTCATGCTGTCCATCACTGATTTGCCAGGCTTAAGCGAGATTATTGATAGGCTGCTATGGTATGGTTGTTGGGGTATGCTGACAACGTTCCCTTCGCCAGCAACATGGAATCTGAGACCTGCAACAGGTAATAGTTGGTATAGTAAATTTACCAGGATACCCGCCAATAGAGTAGGCCAAGAAGCAGGGAAATGTCAGTACTGAAATTTTAGAGTACTGTGAACGCGCTATAGTAATTTAAACCACGGAATCAGTAACATGCAATGTCACTTTATGGACAGCATCGTGTTTACATTTCATAATAACATAATTAAGACACCGCTAGTTTCATTAATAAACATTAATAATCATCGTTTGAAACTCGCAAACGTTATTTCCGCAGAAAAAAACAAGGTGTTTACTGTCGTCGGCTGCTCGGTTAGTCTGACCTAAACCTGTGGTTGAACCCCGGATATAAACAGATGCAACAGGCAGTAAATACGATACTGTCGGCCACAGGTCGGGAAACACAGGTCGCGTTTTCAGGGAATGTGTATGGCTAATAAATGATCCGCACATGAATGGCAGTTAATCAACCGCAACTGGTAGATTTCTTAATTGCCATGAACATGAGGCAGTTTTGTAGACATCTCTACAGCACGCTCTTCATTACGACTGGCGTATCATTACCAACTGAGTCATGTCATTGCACATCTCACTGGGGCATTTGCTGTTACTGCATACTTATATCACTATTTGTGTCACCCAGCCATTCGAAAGCTACATCTGACTGTCGCCATGGTGTCATCCCCAAAGTCAGGAGCTACATCTGACTGTCGCGATGGTGGCCATCTTCCCGAGGGAAAGGAACTAACTGACTATAAAAGTCCAGTTTCCACCCTTGCCGAACCCTGCCGAGATATACCCGAGATGTGAACACTGCCGAAATATACCCGAGATGTGAACTCTGCCGAGATATAACTAGGATGTGAACACTGTTGAGATATACCTTGGTCGTGAACACTGCCGAGATATACCCGAGATGTGAACACTGCCGAGATGTACCTGAAACGTGAACACTGCTGAGATATACCCGAGATGTGAACACTGCCGAGATATACCCGAGATGTGAACACTACCGAGATACACCTGGGACTCGAATTCTGCCGAGATATACCCGAGATGTGAACACTGCCGAGATATACCCGAGATGTGAACACTGCCGAGATATACCTGGGACGTGAACACTGTCGAGATATACCCGAGATGTGAACACTGCCGAGACATACCCGAGACGTGAACACTGCCGAGATATACCTGGGACGTGAACACTGTCGAGATATACCCGAGATGTGAACACTGCCGAGATACACCTGGGACTCGAATCCTGCCGGGATATACCCGAGATGTGAACACTGCCGAGATATACCCGAGATGTGAACACTGTCGAGATATACCCGAGACGTGAACACTGCCGAGATATACCCGAGACGTGAACACTGCCGAGATATACCCGAGACGTGAACACTGCCGAGATATACCTGGGACGTGAACACTGTCGAGATATACCCGAGATGTGAACACTGCCGAGACATACCCGAGACGTGAACACTGCCGAGATATACCCGAGACGTGAACACTGCCGAGCTATACCCGAGATGTGAACACTGCCGAGATATACCTGGGACGTGAACACTGTCGAGATATACCCGAGATGTGAACACTGCCGAGATATACCTGGACGTAAACACTGCTGAGATATATACCCGAAATGTGAACACTGCCGAGACATACCTTAGAAGTGAACACTGCTGAGATATACCCGAGATGTGAACACTGCCGAAATATACCCGAGATGTGAACACTGCCGAGATATACCCGAGATGTGGACACTGCCGAGATATACCCGAGATGTGGACACTGCCGAAATATACCCGAGATGTGAACACTGCCGAGATATACCTGGCGTGAACACTGCCGAGATATACCTGGGACGTGAACACTGCCGAGATATACCCGAGATGTGAACACTGCCGAAATATACCTGGACATAAACACTGCTGAGATATACCCGAGATGTGAACACTGCCGAAATATACCTGGACGTAAACACTGCTGAGATATACCCGAGATGTGAACACTGCCGAGAAATACCTGGCGTGAACACTGCCGAGATATACCTGGACGTGAACACTGTCGAGATATACCCGAGATGTGAACACTGCCGAGACATACCCGAGACGTGAACACTGCCGAGATATACCTGGGACGTGAACACTGCCGAGACATACCTGGACGTAAACACTGCTGAGATATACCCGAGACATACCTGGCGTGAATACTGCCGAGATATACCTGGGACGTGAACACTGCCGAGATATACCCGAGATGTGAACACTACCGATATATACCTGGACATAAACACTGCTGAGATATACCCGAGATGTGAACACTGCCGAAATATACCTGGACGTAAACAATGCTGAGATATACCCGAGATGTGAACACTGCCGAGAAATACCTGGCGTGAACACTGCCGAGATATACCTGGACGTGAACACTGTCGAGATATACCCGAGATGTGAACACTGCCGAAATATACCTGGACATAAACACTGCTGAGATATACCCGAGATGTGAACACTGCCGAGAAATACCTGGCGTGAACACTGCCGAGATATACCTGGACGTGAACACTGTCGAGATATACCCGAGATGTGAACACTGCCGAGACATACCCGAGACGTGAACACTGCCGAGATATTCCTGGGACGTGAACACTGCCGAGACATACCTGGACGTAAACACTGCTGAGATATACCCGAGACATACCTGGCGTGAATACTGCCGAGATATACCTGGGACGTGAACACTGCCGAGATATACCCGAGATGTGAACACTGCCGAAATATACCTGGACGTAAACACTGCTGAGATATACCCGAGATGTGAACACTGCCGAAATATACCTGGACGTAAACACTGCTGAGATATACCCGAGATGTGAACACTGTCGAGATATACCCCAGATATGAACACTGCCGAGACATACCCGAGACGTGAACACTGCCGAGATATACCTGGGACGTGAACACTGCCGAGACATACCTGGACGTAAACACTGCTGAGATATACCCGAGACATACCTGGCGTGAACACTGCCGAGACATACCCGAGACGTTAACACTGCCGAGATATACCTGATATGGGAACACTGCCGAGATATACCCAGCGGTCGAGTGTGACTTCAGGACTTCAGGAGGGGTGTGTGTCATAAGCTCTTGAGAAAGATAAATAAATAAGTTATGGACATGAACGGGTCAGCCGATAACAGCTATTTCTGAAGGCTATTTCTCATGTAGTTTACAAAATAGCTATGCTTGAATGTACATACGAGAGAGGTATTGCACCCCCCCCCCCCCCCCCCCCCCACCCACCCCAACCCCAACCCCCACCCCCACACACACAATGGCCCCCTTACAATGAGCACCTCCCATCACATATACTGAATATAGCGATTGCATATTGCAACAGTACAGTATTACGTTATATCAAAATAAGTTGCGTGTTTTATCTTAGCATTAGCACAAAGCTGTCTTGTTTGCTCTTGTTTGTGTCACATATTTTGTAGACAGATAACCAAGTGATCACGTGTACAGATGAATGAGGTAGGGTGTGGTCCAGTTGTGAGTAGTGCGCGATGACAACCAGGTCTCAGCGAATAAATGTATTGGAGGTAACATTAAGCAAAACAAAAGTGAAACATAAAAGTGGAACTAGTGAATGAATTCGGATCGAACGAGTATTATGCTTTTCTTCTATTTTTTTCTGTTGATATAACATAAGGAATGATGGCTTTAGTTCTATTTGTAATAGTTTGGGGAAAGGCCTATGTGGCGTATTGGTAATTGAAATAAGGCCGTTTTGTAATTAAATCAAAAGTACATGCATTTCTATCTTTTTAAACAAGTGTTTATAACATGTCATATGTGGTCTACTAGTTCTTTAAAAGTCCCGATATGTTGTTAGCAGGTTGTACAGTGATATTCTTATGAGACCCTGCAATGCATGCCATTTGTCAGGAAGTTTGCTGCAATAATGAGACAGTGCCTACGTGCCATATTATAACAGGTGGCATGCTTGATCTTGTTTCGGCCTGAATATGCTACTGCTCTCATTTACTGTGGAAAGACATTGTTTATCAAATTCAGGGAGGTAATCGAATAGTAGTCAAAAACTTGTAAAACAGGAAATGAGTTTAAAACCAGTATTGTTCATATTGTTTTAAACATGTCTGTGTTGATGAAATGTTTTGGGGAAACTATTTATTGTGAACAGAATTTGGCGAATAAGTAGTTTGCCGTCGTGCTGGTGCATCATATCAAAAGTTTTCTTGTTGGGATTTGTAACTTATGGTATGAATCTCTCACAGCCTCATATGGTGCATGTGTAATTTAGACTTCAGTGTCATTTACAACATCACGATGTCATGGTAATCTTACTCCTGGCGGACATGTCGTAGGTATAACCGATCGGGTATCCCCACGTTGCCTGGTGGTCCGCGTCTCACAAGGAAGGTCTGCATTTAAACGATTGGGAATACTAATTTGAAGACAATATGCCTCAGCTCCCTTCTGTATTATAAAGAGAATAACGACTTTTCTTCAAGGAATTTCCTTTGACATGAGAAGATTGTTTTGCGTACATGGTATTTATTTTTGACGTGGAAAAGAATGTGTTCTCGGGAAAATAATGATGGGACCCTCTTCTTTAAAGAAGTAGAGAACACTGCAGACAGTATCGTTCGGTTGTAAACTCACACGCTTAACTGAGGATAGGAGCAGATGAAGGCGCGGTCGTGTTTCGTCCAACATGTTAAAACCCCATCAAATCCCACAACTACCAACTCATTAAGCCAGTATAACAAGACACATATAGTACAATGGTGACTATTCTGGATGTACCCCGGTCCCCGTGCCCTCCACAGTGCCGCCGCCGCCACCTGGATACAAGTAGAGCTGATAACAGGGGGAAGTAGGACGGACGCGTGAGTCATTCTCACCGGACCCATACCACGTTATCTCGCGAAGGCCTACACGAGAATACTTTAAATCTACAACATGTTTGTGTTCCTTCGGTCCACGGTACAACCCCTTCCCTAAAAGTCTTATTTCCCCACGTTTCTCCTCTGTTTCTTAGTTAAACTTTCTCTTTCTCTGTAGCGTTGCCTGTTATAGTGTGACTGGGACGGATATTTTTATAGATACCTAGACGGATCGTATGCCTTGACCCCGGGCCCAACATGCTCTAAGCAGGCGAAGCACTTCACTCATTGTGAGCCTGAGTTGGTATTTCTATAGTTTCCGTGCATTGGTCGCTTTGTGAATGTGGGCCCATGTGACTTGGATCAATGACAGGAACAGTCCTCCGGGTAGCTTTAACTACGGCTATGTAGGGATGAGTTACACGATATCTCCTTGGTCAGCGAGACTCTGCATAATATGTACTGGTCCATCACACGATACCGCCTTGGTCAGCGAGACTCCGCATAGTATGTACTGGTCCATCACACGATACCGCCTTGGTCAGCGAGACTCCGCATAGTATGTACTAGTCCATCACACGATACCGCCTTAGTCAGCGAGACTCCGCGTAGTATGTACTAGTCCATCACACGATACCGCCTTGGTCAGCCAGATTCCGTATAGTATGTACTAGTCCATCACACGATACCGCCTTGGTCAGCGAGACTCCGCATAGTATGTACTAGTCCATCACACGATACCGCCTTGGTCAGCGAGACTCTGCATAGTATGTACTAGTCCATCACACGATACCGCCTTGGTCAGCGAGACTCCGTATAGTATGTACTGGTCCATCACACGATACCGCCTAGGTCAGCGAGACTCCGTATAGTATGTACTAGTCCATCACATCATTGACGTAAGAACATCAAGTGTTAAAAGTTGCACGGAAATTGGAATGGTAGGAGTGACAACAATGCAGGAAACATGACCACAGGTGTCATCCATGCAACAAACCCCCCCAGAGAGCAAAGGCGCTGTATTTTACACAACAAACACAAACACCGTATAGGTGTACAGAAGACATTTAATAACGCGGCGGATGAAAATATGGGTGCGATTCAGACGTAGCAGACCGAATTTGTTTCACAGTCAGTTTTCATTTGTTTATCATGTATGGCACAATTTTGTTGCAGTGTGTTACACAGCATGCTGTCTGGAGAACGGGTCAGTCCTGACAATGATGCCATTGCCCAGACACGGAATTCCCTTTGTTAAACCCAGTGTCACGTTTTGGTTGCAGCCAACATGGAAAGCGGAGATTGTGACCGTATAGGCCCATACACCATCGACGACACCGACATCTTGCAGGTGTATGCCAGCCCCCCACAGATCCCGGGGGGGTCAGCAACGCGTGACAGCTGCGTTATTGAGGTCCGGACAGCACCCAATCGCCGTCTTCGTATCTACGTCATGGACGTCACCATCTTTGATTGCGGAACGCTCGTGTATATCTACGACGGCGGCACCCACATGACTACACCCACTGTAAGTAGAGGGGGAGGAAATGTGAGGATTCAAATACAACTGCGCATGTCACAACGGAACGTCCTACGCTTGGTTAATATTAATATATCATCTGGTGAAGTGAAATCGATCATGTATACACACAAAATATTTTTTATGTGGTCAACAAAAAATACCGCCCTTTTGCAGTTAGGTGAAATGTGTGATTTTCAAGTACCAGGTAGTTATGTCACAAGCCGAACACCAATGAGTCCAGGACTGGCATTCTGATCATTACGTGACCATGTAGCTGTTACCGTCCTCACGTCTCCGTCCGTCTCTACTTATATATATTTATATATATATATATATATATATGTTTGTTGCTATTTTGTGTTTCGGGTTTTGGTCAAGGTCATCGCCACTGTCTTGTCTGACGCCACTGAATGGCGTATAGCTCCGTGCACCACCTGCTTGGATATAGTGCAGAGTCTATTAACATAGACTATTTAACAGAGAAAAGGCTTCCAGGACGCTGTGAATGAAATGCTTTGCTGATTAACATGCTCCGTCGATGCATGCGCAGTTGTTGGTGAAATGCGTACAATTTTCATTCCATGCTTTTGCCTTTATTCCAGATGCCAGTTTATCAAGGAATAATATTCCAGAAAGCACTTGTGGACAGTTAATAGCGTTTCTGTTTCAACTTACATGTTTTACTTTATATTTACAACTTTACAAACTTATTTAAAATTCATGTTTCTTTTTCCAAATATATTCTCGTCCCTGAATCACTTTATGTGACAAACTGGACTTGATTTGTTTAATCTGCCTCAACCGGGTACATTTGTTCTCTCTCAGTATTGGATTTTCAGTATGACTAGTTACAGTATTGCACTAGATGTTATATAATGGAAGTATATAGTACATTTGTGACTTGTCTCCATGGCATCCACACAATCCCGCCGCTCTGTTTCAGCGGACTCTTAAGTGTGAGACGGCCCCTGTGAAATTCAACTCCCGCAGCGAGGTATTGAGGATACAGCTTGTGAAACAGTCCCCATCATCCCTCAACTTCCGCTACACCATCGTCTTGACAACTGACGAAGGTACCTAGTAATCACGAACACCGTGTTAACAAGTAAAGGAATTGTGTGTGAATATGGTATATGTGGGTGGAAATACACGACGAGTCTAGAGTGCGAGGAACTGAATGAATTGAATGTCACTTTGAGCATTTGTAAAGTTATATCACGGGGTGGAAGGAAAGCACGAAGTGATGCAATTCTCAGACGAAACCCACGAACACGGTACGGTGCTGACACATAAAATCTAAAAATCAGGGTAAACATTGGCGTTCGAACGTACGGTTATTGGATTCTGGCACGTTTAAGGGAAGCAACTCTGCATTGCGAAATAGGGCGTTGTAGACAATGGGCGAGCCATTAAGCTTCGTTGTCGAGTACAGACACTGCATGAACACACTCTTAAACGTGGCAAGTTGTATTTGACAGTTTGTTCTGGCTTACCAAGTGTTTAAAGTTTGGACGTATACAAAATACTTCGATTAGTTCAGGATTTAACATGAATTTCTGAATGTGACATGAAGAAGTTTTTTCAACCACTTCTCAACATTCTTCAGAAGGAGAGGGCTTTCTTTGAAGTGTTGGTATTTCTGTGAGCTTGAAAATACAAATCCCCTCCAGGCATATCACGTCTTGCTAAGCCTGTGCGGTACGCCAGTATACTGTAGAACTAGTAGTCATTTGCTCTGGAGAAGACAGAAGTGTTACACACACCTGTGTTGAACACACGGGAAATTGTAATGGACTATGAATATGACCCATGTATGTTTCTCATATTTAGAGATTGTTTTGTTTCCCATGACTCATGCCATTCTGTTGCAGTGTAAAGCTTGATTCTTATATACACAAAACTTCGAACTTCTTGTTTCTTCTACGTTAAACCGACCAGGACTTCCTGAACATTTAAATAGATTGACGCTCGTTTACACAAGACTTTCAGTCAAGGGAGTTCCCCTCTCTAAGAACTCGTAAGCAAAAGTCTGACTATCGAACTTTATACTTTATTTATTTGTTCTATCCATACACAGATTTTGGAAATATTGCTCTTGCGCAAGACAACTACAACGTTCTCTGATCATGTTTACTATGTCCTAGGTCCCGACATCGACTTCGAACGCGACATGTCGGAATTCAACAGTTCCCCGTTGTCAGTTGGCGCCATTGTCGGACTGAGTATTGCTGGCGGGCTGCTGCTGGTTGCTGTGATTGCTATCAGCATATACTGTGTTGTGAAGCAACGCAAGAAAAACCTGGAGGCAGAAGCACAGAAGCGTCCCCCAGAGAACAACGTCTACTCCACAGGTAAATAGGCTGGTGTGTTACTCGAGCACCCATACAACATTTTGGAAACTGAGGATGAACTTAACATGCGGAATAAGTTGCGATTGGTATAACTGTGTAAAATTTCCTTAGAACATAACACTTAACTTGCTTAATGGTTTAGTTACATGTATATGCTTTTGTTGTACGTTTTTATGTTATATATGCTTTAAAATAGAGGTGTGCAGTGGTGCCTATGATTAACTGCTGTGGGCAACTTTATATATTACTATGTTTTGGGTGGTCCAGAATATTGAAACATCACTCAATGATTTTGGCGTTTAATGACCCGATGATGATGGTTTCATTTCACACAAAATCCTAGCGCTACCAGCAGCGTTTATAACTTAGTCGGGTATAAATAACGATTGTAGTTGGTATGATGGGACATATTACCAATATTACCAATAGTTTCAAGGTCCAAGTGAACTTATGACATGTCCCTGTTGTCAATGAACTAATTCTTCTCCTGTTGAAGGGAAGAATCTAGATTAACAAATAGTCTATTACACAGTACAATTCTCTCCATCCGCTTTGATTTGTCGGATGAAAGGTCGTTCTGACGTGGCCCGTAATGGGATGTCCTCAGATCTTTGTTTAGCGGCAGCGGGAACTTATATCTGATTTTAATGAGATTGCATCTTAGAAAGCAGAAGGTACAGAATAAAAAAACCTTTGATATGATATGTGGCAACACAATGGGATTCAGATTCCTTTTAGGACAGCAAAATGAAATAAATACCTCTCTTTTCATGTCGGGGGGAAAAAACTTTAAAATTGATAAGATTCCGATTCCAAGAGACCACAAAACTCCCGAGAGAAGAAACTATTGAATGTGTGTAGGGCCATCATGTGAATTCGATTTGTTCATATCATGGGAATTAGAACATTAAGTTTTTTGTTATAAAATGAGGGGCGGTGGTGTAGCCTAGTGGTTAAGGCGTTCGCTTGTCACGCTGAAGGCCTGGGGTAAATTCCACACATGGGCACAGTGTGTGAAGCACATTTCTACTGCCGTAATATTGCTGGAATATTGCTAAAAGGGACGTAAGACCATACTCACTAACTCACTCACTGTTATGAAATGAGGTCTATTTGAAATCTATTTGAAATCTGTATGAATCATCTTTCAAGAAACAGTACAGGGAAGCAAACTTTTATGTGATATGTAGCATATGTGATTGTATATACAACAAGAGAGTAGAAGAATGTTGGGAGCGTGCCTTTGACTTCCGAGTGTTCTACATAACGACTATTGCTTGTGAATGCTTGAATACATTCTATACTTCGTAAACAGCCATGTGCCTATCCCACAACCTGACCTGTGTGTACTTGTGTGTCATAGCACTCTGTGATCACAACGTATACCCAACACAGTTATGAAGATTCCCGGTCCCCGAGATACAAAGCTTCCCTTGTCTATCGTCTGGATATGTTGAAACTGTCATCAGAAACAGGATATAACTTAAATACTGCTCAAACAATAGTTTTATCAGACACGACTGCAAGAAATACAGTTTAGTGCGAGGTTCATGTCACATGCTTCGACCAGTAATTTACGTCCCTTGATCTTTCACCTTTCTAAATAATTTGCCATCTGGCGCTTTTAATGTACTATATTTAATTTTGATGTCGATTCATTTCCCCATACGTATCAATGCTAATTATGTACACATGATCGGATGACTTACCGGCCGCGTCTGGGACAGTAAGGAGGAAATACGTCCACCCAACTTCTCTGGTAAGTTTTGATCTGTTTCCGATGCCGAAAAAGCACGTAAATAAATTTGTTGTTGCATGGTCAATGTTGTTTGGTTAATTGAAAATATTTGAACTAAATGTCTGTTGTAAACAAAATCGTATGCCATCCCGTGAGCTACTGTCAACACACAGACTTTGGCTCCACACAGCAACATCGACACTGCTAATAAGATATGGACTATTATTTCATGAATTGTGTTGTGTACTATCATACACTGCACCTGTTGCCCTTCCACCCCTGCCTGGTACCCTAACAGCCCCTGTGACATGAAACCTCACTGCTACAGCCTGCTAAGCTTATTGTAAATTGCTAGACTCAATATATCGGAGAATGTACAGTGTCCATTCAACAATGATGTAACTCCATCTATCGCCTGCCTAGCGCGATTGTTGTGTGAGAATTGAGGGTATTAACTTAAGTTTCTACTGACTCCTGTTCAGTGTTTAACAGAGCAGGAAGTATTGTCACTGTAAACGGAAGTATTAACTTGTTGATGATGTTTTGTTCTTGTTGTCTTTTAGTTCCTGCTGATGACCGCCGACACCGACGGGAGAGATACGAGATGTCACGTCCCAGACGAGATTACGTGTGACCACATGTAGTCCACCATTGTACATGACGTCACCATCATTTGATCAGCCCCTATTTCATCTTAATACCGCAATCTTCAACACATGAGCCGATGACATCACCATTTCGTGTCATGATTTTAAGAAGCATATCTTGTGTGTTCAACGATGAATAAAGATTAATTTTGATATTCGTTGTGTTTGTTTCTAAGAAAGGCATCAAGAAGAAAAGCGTTAATACAGAAGCAGCGTGGAAAAGGGTGGGGTTACGAAGCAGTGTGCAAAAGAATGGAGTTGTCAAGCAGTGTGCAAAGGACGGGTTTAGTGCTGCAACAGAAGCAGCGTGGAAGAAGGATGGAACTAAAAAGCAGTGTCATGTTAAGAACTATTATTTCCGTTTTTGTGTCATTTATAGCCCGCCGTGATATAGTTGGAATATCGCTGAAAAAACAACGCCTTAGACACCATGCACTCTCACGTGTTCGTTGAAATGGTTATGTTGACTGTGTCCCCCATTAAACACTGTACACAGCTGTACTCGATTACAGGCATCATCACATTTAGTGACCAAGCTGATAACGATATTCTTCATGTGTATTCTTTGTTGTAGGCTCGTCCAAAGTGATGTACCAATCTCGCAAAGACCACAACCACAAGGACAACTACAAGAAGCCGTATTCCGGCAGCTATGACAGTCGAGAGTCCAGTAGCAACGACAGTCATAACAGTAGTCTATCTTCCGGTGATGGACACGTATTTGTGAACATGAACCCAGATCCGAAGGTGAAGGTCAGGGGTGGAGGTTATTCCAATAAAGCATTTGTGCCGTCTGAGGATGGCGGCCATGACAGAAGTCGTGACAGTACCGGAAGTGAAGACACTAGTGGAGGCTATGTTAATGGTTCTTTTGAAAGTAGTGATACTCCACAAAAAAGAAGATTTTCAAAGCATCAGGAAAACGGAAATGCATCTGGAACTTTATCACGTAATGGAAGGCGTGGGAGTGCCCGAAGCAAGTCGAACAAAAGACGAAATTCTAATGAGGACAAGAAAGGCGGACTTACACGAGAAGGAAGTCGTCGAAGGTCAAGGTCGGGCAATAGAGGTCATAGAGATTCTGGTCGCCAAAGATCAAGGTCAAATGGAGAACATGGTGGAAGTCGAAGACGATCCAGGTCAAGATCACCTCATAGTCAGAGTTCAACTCAAAGTACGTCATTCGATAAAGACGGACGCAATAGACATTACAATATCAGCGACATATCTCGACGAACCCGAGAGAGCAGTAATTCTTCAACAAGCAGTCGAGACAGTGGGGATGAACGTACAGTGTCTTACGATCCGAACCCTCCTTCACGGGGTCGCCGGAGTCGGCCTAGGGAAAGAGGAGATGACTATGGGAGTCAAGTGTGAGCTTTGTGATAATGTATGTGTATCTACATCATAACTGATCACTGTTGTGTATTCACACATGCCTGTCCCAGTGTAAAGAACTGGGTAGAACGCCGCCATAGTGCGTGATGATGTTTCCATGCTAGGAATCAAGAGACGTGTGACCCAGAGACTACATGACTGGTGTTTATTCAGTAGTGGTCCATTGCACCCAGCGTACGTTGCGTAAACGTATATTTAACTGACTGCGTTCTGGTCGGTCCCAGCCGTTCGAAGGGACCCAACACACATGTTGCATTGATTCCAGATTCGTTCTCAGACATGTGGCCTTTCATGACTGCCTCTGACTTAAAGCAGTTCGATCTTGGCAAATGTGTTCTGAAATGAGCGTGTCATTCGAGTATTTCCCAGAGCGATATTTATGTATGTATGTTCGACATTCCCATGAAGCCTTATATATACAATTTACACACACACACACACACACACACACACACACACACACACACACATACACACACACATATTCATGCATATATTCATTCATTCCGTTGCAACTGAATGGGACTATATCCAGACTCAACGTAATGTAGGTATGCTTAACAAATGTTATTTTTTTTATATCGCATTTTCATCATAACCATATCATTATGACAGAACCTCCTTTGAATCAACACTTAAATCTCCTGTACTGGAGGTGTGTGCATGTGAACATATAAACGTTTCTTTTGGACACTGGTCGATTTTTATATCACAGTGAGATCCCCGGACGTGGCAGGCGGATTCATCCCACCGTTCCTCTGCAGCATAACATGCACGTGTATGTTGTTAGCGCCCGCGTGCTAATACAGGCAGATTATTGTATGCCAAGTCCGTATTTACCGATTTTTTACATTCATAATCAGCATTATTAGCTCACCTGGCCTTCGTCTACCATTATTCTTTTTACATTTTTGAAATTTTGTGTGAATATTTTTTTATCAAGGCATCAACATTGAAATTTCAATATGGCAGCAAGGCAGCTATCTTTCATTTAAGAAAATTACAATTTCACAGTTACTCCAAAAGAAAGTTTGTTCAAGGCATCTGCTGCACCGAATGAACCTGAAACTTCAAATGTTTTTCCCACGAATGGTGACACCTGAATTTGTTCAAGCTTTGAATCCGATTTTTAATCACAGCAACACAATTGAAATACATGTAGCTAGTGATAGCCATTTTTCAGCTGTTTTTTGTTCAAAGTGTAACGTAATGCTCCTAAATTCTTCTAAATTCATTTTTGGCTCTTTAAAGATATAACATCAGCGCTCCATAGCCTAGTCAACATTTCTGAAACTTGCAGTTTGAGGAGGCAGAACTTTGGCATATGTTTCTTCTTGTGATGACTTCATATTTAGTCCAAAGCATTGCTGTTTCATCGTGTTTATGGTATGATACAACTGAAAAAAATGGTATGACATTAGAAAATTTTCCTTCGAAGGCGTATAAGACTCAGAGTTGAAGTAAATGTAACAGTTGTGCATTGGAACAATGTTCTAAAATAGTATATTCATTTGGAAACAGTGTGGCAATTTAGATACTTGTTTCATATTTATAAATACTTTGTCCTCAGTATTTATACAGAAAATATTTTAAAAACAACGCTGACAGCAGTTTTTGTTAAGTGTTTGTCTTTGTTAACATTGGAGCTGGTGACTACATGCACACGGTGCTGCAGTGCTTTGGCACCATTCTATTTTTAATTCGAATAATTTAGACCTAAATGAGGTGATGTGCAATGTTATATGATTGTGGTAATGAATTCTGAAAATATTATTCCATGCTTTACATATAATACCACTTTTTTCATTAATTGGTAACTTGAGTGTAGTCAGGGTGTGTTGTTTAAGGCGTTCCTACACATTTGAGGGGCATCTGTTGTCCAGGTAGGGAGGCTGGATAATATGCACACGGAGTGATTGTTGTCCGGTTCCGCCACACACGTACAGCTGGACAGCTGTACCATAGACACACGTGGTGTGGTGAAACACATCGCCCTCAGAGTCCAGTACAAGTGACAGCATATAGCTGGGAGGATAAATAACGGGAATCAAAATTGAGAAGACTTTAATTATACAGTGTTGTGTTATGAATAAGTGTCATTGACAGCTTCCAGTGCTTCACTAAATATTCCATTTGTTATATCGTCGCTTCCTATGTTTATGGAAAATATGATTTCTGCGTTATCAACACTCGTTTAGTTAGAGCCAATGTTAACTAATTAAATATACATTTTAGCGAAAATATTTTAACACTGAGAAGTTATATGTTTATATCTTGTTTATTGGTTGTTACAGATGTTCCATCTGAAAGGCGGCTAATGAACCGACCAGTCGTTTCTCGTCTTTATGTTGATTGAAAACTCTTATTATTTCATTTTAGTCCTTTTTCCTGATAGTTTAATTTGCGATTGTGTTACTTTAGACGTCTTTTTGTGACCGTATCTATTACTTTTAGCTACGATGTCATGGGCACTACCAACATGACTTTAATTTACAAACTGTGTTGGCTATGACCTCCTGTCACAGTAGTAGCATCTTTTGTTTGTTTGTTTTGAGGGTTTCCAAAACTAGGGTTGATATGAGTTTCTGCAAGTGCAACATCAAAGTTTAAGTTGCTCTACCTTATTTAGAGATGCAAAGTAAAAAATGGTATTTCTTCAGTGGCTCTCTTGTGGTGTATATTTTAAAGAGCACAGCCATTTCCAAAACATCAACTTTACACGTCACATACCATAGCATACTATAGACAAAAAGGAGTCATTCGTGATATGGTGTATTGACGATCTATCCTACAGGTATCCTTACTTCATATATAATTCTTGTCAATGAATCCACATAATTCGTAATAAGCTTGAGTTATGTTTGATAAACAGACCTGTTGACCATACGGTAGAAAATGCTAACAAAGGACCAACCCTTTCTTGTTGAAGGGTTTAATGGGTGTTGTGAAATGAGTGACATATTCCAAGGTACATTGTACTTAAGAACAACGATATGGCATTCATTTTCCAATTCCAATGTTTGTATATATGGTGTTATACAATGGCCCCGAATCATGAATAAACTGTACATACGTATTATTTCTATTTTATGTTGTTGTTGTTGTTGTTTATTTCATTTGAATTATGTTTACCCGTAAGTATCTCTAAGGTATTTGTACAAGGTTTGTGCGAGTCCTAGTTGGGACAGGTTTAGTAATGAGATGAGGTATAATTGATTGGCGTGACATAGAGGACGATCTCACAAGCAGGGACAGTTGAAAATAAATACAAATGCTCTCTTTGCTGGATAACATTCTGTCATCCGGTGAAGATTTGTGTCTTTGTGTTGTATTCAACAATGAATTCGCATCTTTCTCTATTTCACTGCAATATTGAAAGTGAGCAAAACTAGCAATTTAAGACGTTTTTAAAAATATGTATGCGTGCGACTCGGTTGCTTTGTAGTCCGACCAACTGCACGGACAGCCAGTGGTCTGTGATCTGAGCAGATACACAAAACACACGGGCAGAAAGTGATCTGTGATATATACATGGCACATCTGAGCAGATACACAAAACACACGGGCAGACAGTGATCTGTGATATATACATGGCACATCTGAGCAGATACACAAAACACACGGGCAGACAGTGATCTGTGATATATCCATGACACATCTGAGCAGATACACAAAACACACGGGCAGACAGTGATCTGTGATATATTCATGGCACATCTGAGCAGATACACAAAACACACGGGCAGACAGTGATCTGTGATATATACATGGCACATCTGAGCAGGTGCACTAAATACACAGGCAGACAGTGGTCTGTGATCTACATGGCACATCTGAGCAGGTGCACAAAACACACGGGCAGACAGTGATCTGTGATATATACATGGCACATCTGAGCAGATACACAAAACACACGGGCAGACAGTGATCTGTGATATATCCATGACACATCTGAGCAGATACACAAAACACACGGGCAGACAGTGATCTGTGATATATCCATGGCACATCTGAGCAGATACACAAAACACACGGGCAGACAGTGATCTGTGATATATACATGGCACATCTGAGCAGATACACAAAACACACGGGCAGACAGTGATCTGTGATATATACATGGCACATCTGAGCAGGTGCACTAAATACACAGGCAGACAGTGGTCTGTGATCTACATGGCACATCTGAGCAGGTGCACGAAACACGGGCAGACAGTGATCTGTGATATATCCATGACACATCTGAGCAGGTGCACAAAACACACGGGCAGACAGTGATCTGTGATATATACATGGCACATCTGAGCAGGTGCACTAAATACACAGGCAGACAGTGGTCTGTGATCTACATGGAACATCTGAGCAGGTGCACAAAACACACGGGCAGACAGTGATCTGTGATATATACATGGCACATCTGAGCAGGTGCACTAAATACACAGGCAGACAGTGGTCTGTGATCTACATGGCACATCTGAGCAGGTGCACAAAACACACGGGCAGACAGTGATCTGTGATATATCCATGACACATCTGAGCAGGTGCACAAAACACACGGGCAGACAGTGGTCTGATATATACATGACACATCTGAACAGGTGCACTAAATACACAGGCAGACAGTGGTCTGTGATCTATACATGACATCTTAGCAGGTGCACTAAATGCACAGGCAGACAGTGGTCTGTGATCTATATACATGACACATCTGAACAGGTGCACTAAATACACAGGCAGACAGTGGTCTGTGATCTATACATGACACATCTAATAAGGTACACTTAATACACAGGCAGACAGTGGTCTGTGATCTACATGACACATCTGAGCAGCTGCACTAAATACACAGGCAGACAGTGGTCTGTAATCTATACATGACACATCTGATAAGGTACACCAAATACACAGGCTGACAGTGGTCTGTGATCTATACATGACACCTGTGAGCAGATACACTAAATACACGGGCAGAGAGTGGTCTGTGATCTATACATGACACCTCTGAGCAGCTGCACTAAATACACGGGGAGACAGTGGTCTGTGATCTACATGGCACTTCTGAGCAGCTGCACTAAATACACAGGCAGACAGTGGTCTGTGATCTATACATGACATTTCTGAGCAGGTTCTCTCAATACACAGGCAGACAGTGGTCTATGCTCTATTTTCATGACACATCTGAGCAGGAACACTAAATACACAGGCAGACAGTGGTCTGTGATCTATACATGACATTTCTGACCAGGTACTCTAAATACACAGGCAGACAGTGGTCTGTGATCTATACATGACATTTCTGACCAGGTACTCTAAATACACAGGCAGACAGTGGTCTGTGATCTATACATGACACTTCTGAGCAGGTTCTCTCAATACACAGGCAGACAGTGGTCTATGCTCTATTTTCATGACACATCTGAGCAGGTACACTAAATACACAGGCAGACAGTGGTCTGTGATCTATACATGACACTTCTGAGCAGGTTCTCTCAATACACAGGCAGACAGTGGTCTGTGCTCTATTTTCATGACACATCTGAGCAGGTGCAGTAAATACACAAGTGCCGGTGTTAGGTGACCTACATGACTCATCTTAGCAGTTACGATAAATACATTACAGCTTAACTGTTGGTTTTATCTTCATTGAAGTAGGTCGGGATTTTCTCCTTGCCTACTCTGCTCTGAGGGAGAACATAGATTAAACGTACGCCTACATCACGCGAATGCGTACGTGTTCCGTGACCTGTGTTCGGTGGCGTTTGTGGGAATGGGTTATCCTGATGTCCTCTGTTGAAGTCCCTTCTCATAGATTCCTTTACATTCTAATCTTATATAGTATGTTCTCCGAAAACATGTTAAACATGCCAGATAAATTCGATATTTGCTCATTCATCCATGCGTTATTTAATCCAGGGAGCATATATCCTTAGATAGACTCCCTGAGTGGGGGATGATATTAAACAATCATGCGACCGTTCAAACATCCAGTCAATTAATAGGGAGAAGTTTGGATTGGCGAACGTTTTGAAGAAGCGGACGAGAATTAAAAGAAAAATCATGTCATTGAAGTGGATACTAGTATATGGATGAATCAAAGAGTCTAGTTAGTTCTATATCGATTTCCCGCCTTTATAATAGTTCTGAAATAAATTCCAATGGTCGCCGTGATTATCACTTAAACTCATACCTGACATAGTTTAGAACACTTTAGTACAACAAATGAGAACTCCTTTTGCTATACACATTAGAAGATAGTTATAGATGCACTCGTTCTGTTATACATATTAGTACATAGTTGATGCATTCATTCTGCTATATAGGGGACACGGGTGGCCCAGTCGTCTAAGGCGCCGCGATTCGCTGTGCAGATTATGTTTCTAGGTTTGTTAACACCATACCCGTGCTTGTGGGTTTCACCAAACTGGTAAACGTCTGAGACCTGCATAACTTCGAGCTTTCCTCCCACATTAAGCCGACAAGCCGCGAGAAAATTGGAATACTGTTAAAAGCGGTGTAAAACCCAACTCACTCACTCACTCACTCATTCTGCTTTACACATTAGTACATAGTCACAGATGCATTCATTCTGCTATTTACATATGTACAAAGTTATAGATGCATTCATTCTGCTATTTACATATGTACACAGTTATAGATGCATTCATTCTGCTATACACATTAGTACATAGTTATAGATGCATCCATTCTGCTATATACATAAGTACAAAGTTATAGATGCATCCATTCTGCTATACACATTAGTACATAGTTATAGATGCATCCATTCTGCTATATACATAAGTACAAAGTTATAGATGCATCCATTCTGCTATACACATTAGTACATAGTTATAGATGCATCCATTCTCCTATATACATAAGTACAAAGTTATAGATGCATTCATTCTGCTATATACATAAGTACAAAGTTATAGATGCATTCATTCTGCTATACACATTAGTACATAGTTATAGATGCATCCATTCTGCTATACACATTAGTACATAGTTATAGATGCATCCATTCTGTTATATACATAAGTACAAAGTTATAGATGCATTCATTCTGCTATACACATTAGTACATAGTTATAGATGCATCCATTCTTCTATACACATTAGTACGTAGTTATAGATGCATCCATTCTGCTATACACATTAGTACATAGTTATAGATGCATCCATTCTGCTATATACATAGGTATATAGTTATAGAAGCATTAATTTCCGGAAAACGCATAAGTACATAGTTATAGATGTATTAATTTCCGGAAAACACATAAGTACATAGTTATAGATTCATTCATCCTGCTACTCGGGTACCCGGGTCGGGTGGGTACTGTTATACATATTGGTACATAGTTATAGAAGCATTCATTCTGTTATACATATTGGTACATAGTTATAGAAGTATTCATTCAATTAAACATATTGGTACATAGTTATAGAAGCATTCATTCTGTTATACATATTGGTACATAGTTATAGAAGTATTCATTCAATTAAACATATTGGTACATAGTTAAAGAAACATCCATTCTATTATACATATAGGTACATACCGATCATTAACAATCTTTAGTGATTGCTTCTGTTTGGGTACACAAATTGATGACTGCTCTATTCTCAGTTTTGTCAATTTCAGTAGTGTATCTCGGGGTTTCAAGAAGTTAGTTTTACGTATGTCACTTGACAGAGGCACGCCAGATTGTGAAAGATGACTAAACGATCACAGGTAAATACTAACATACGTCTCGCGTAAACACAACAGCCTGGAAACGCCACGACAGCCGTGACGGACAAGCCACTTGGGGCCATTGGACAGCCGTTTCTGCAGTAATTGAAGTCAAATTTGCACACGATGTGAAAAGAATGCTAATGATGCAAATGAAATGTGTACGTTTTATTTCGCTGTATTTTGAACAGTAATATTGATCTGGATATGTCTTTGCGCGCGCGTGTGTAGTTAGTATAGCCATCAGTAGGAACTCTACAAATATTGTATGGTCCGTAATACTGACCATGATTTGACCCTTGCACGTGGATCATCCTCTAGTATTATCTGTAAATTCATTTCCACCTCCTCCTCTGAAGTTACCAGAACGAGAAAACTGAACTTTTTCATGCATGTTTCTTATTTGAAAACATCATATTTTGTGCAAATCAATAGAATTTAGTGTGAAGTAAATCCTCAGTATTTTTTGCAGTATGTATAAATACTTTTGAATATCATGGCAGACAGTAATTTTTGTCGACATTTTAAACTGTTGACTATATATCTTGGTGAGTTACTATGCCATGACATTGTTTCTTAAATTTATTATGCGTTTGTAAATATAATTCGTTTTTAGTTGCGCGCAGGTTTTCATTCTAATTAGAGTTAACCCCCCCTTACTCCGGATCTTTAGGTTAGGTGGCGCCACTGCGCACTTGTTGACATACAAGATAAGTGTTACGAGAGAGAAAAATAAATATTTGTGTACGTTGATGATGAGTCGTGCATGTTAAACGTTCTCGCCAACACCCCATCTGTTCTCAATGTGTGTGAGAATCACACAAGGTAATTTTCTTATTTGGAATGTGTAAGCTAAGCCAAACATTTGAGAAAAGTAACAGGCAGCTGCTGAACCGGGGCCCATGTATATGTTCTATATTCGTTTTGGCTCTATTCGTTCACTGCAGTGGCCTGTTGTTTATCACGCCAGCATGGTCAAGAGGGGACAATTATATTTCATTTCTTGTATGCCCTATTTTACTACTACATCCTACGTGTAGTACAACACTACTACAACACCTTACAACTCATTATGACACAAGCTATGTTGTCGAATTATTCATTAGGGAATCTGTGGAACTCGTTCAGTAGGCACTCTGCACGTTCTATGGTAATTGTGACTTAGGTTAGGACGTGCGCAGTTCATGCTGGTAAAGTATATTCATTTCCACAGAAACCCTTTTGGGCAGAATCTACAGTAGTCTTGTTTTAATGCTCATCAGTGCTCATGTGTGTTTTGTTTTCAGATCTTTTGATTTATGTGGCTTTTGTAGGGCCTTTAATTTGTTATCCATACTTTCTTTCTTTTTTTGTGTACAGCACTTTTGCTATAATTCTTGTGTTAAATTAATCAGTGATAATAAATATTGTGACTTATCCCCCGTTATGGGTTTTCAGATACTTAAGGAACATTCATATTTTATTGCTGATCACAAGAACAAGCGTAAAACATCTCACTCGCTTATAAAAGACAACTTTCTCTCAAAACCAAGCCATCATATGGGTATTTACAATGTCTGTGTGACGCCACTCCCCTTGTTATCACAATAAACATATGGTTCTCTGAAAATGTATGATGTCCAAAAACTTATGATCCGATGATATATGACATCATATTCTTAGCAACAAGTAAAATTCATATCTTGAAGAAAACTGAACATGCTGAGAGTAGCATTGCTTTTGTTTGTTGTTTAACGCCACACTCTGCAATGTTCCAGCTATATGACTGTGGTCTGTAAATAATCAAACATAGACCAGACAATTCAGTGATTGACATCATGAGCACAATTGGGATAAGATGTCATGTATAAAGCAAATAAGCAATCCTGAGCACCTGATCCCGTTAGTCGCCACTTTCAACATGGGTCAGTATGGGTTGCTGAAGACCCATTCAAACTTAGAGTAGCAGTACACAAGTGAACAGGAGAAAACATCCAATGTTACCCATATGGGTGAAATTATTCTCAGTAATTCTCACTTTCATGAAACCCCCATTTTTCTACATTTTCTCAGAAACATGGCCTATGTGTAATATAAGGATTAATCTGCTTGCAACTCTGAACTACTAATTATCTGTCCCTAATGAATTAATGTTGAAAGCTCTTCGCCAACACTCAGACTTCCAAAAATGAATATGCTTTAGACGAATAATTGGTAATTCCTTATAGCCTGTAGATTGTTCTGTAAATATCTTCTGACTGTCCTCTCAGATTGTATTGATATGTTCAGACACTTTCTTTAACATAAATCATTTGTCAATACTTACTGAGTTTACTCATTCAGGAAAAATACATCAAAATTAGAAATAAGTGACTATAATTATAAGATATCTACAAGTGAAGTCCTCGGTTCATTGAGTACTTGTATGACGTTCCCTCTTCATGGATACCATGAAGCTATACCCAACGAAGATGGAATGACATATATTTGATATATCATGTGTTTTAACATTACAAACTTGGACTGAATGATGTAACTTTCAGAAGTATTTTTTCAAATCCATGGCAACAGACTGATACCTTTTTATATTGTGTACTGTTCTAATAAAGTTTCACTTTTTTTTACTTGGTTCTGTATGGCTTCGGGGAATCAATATTACAGTGTAGAATGGATGTATAGTGTGTTTACAGTGGCGCTAATTTCTACTCATTTCTTAGCATTTCACAGTTAACCACACGTCAGTAGATATAGTGTCTTTCTCATTCCTTACATCTTGGGTGAAAATAGGTCCCCAGGAAGCAATGGTGATCATATGGGTTGGGTGGTCTGGCTCAGTGACTTGGTTGACCATGTATCATCGTACACTGACATTGTTGATTGTTGCTCGTACTGTTCATCACTGGATTGACTGGTCTAGGCTAATTTATTTACAGGCCATCATCACATGGCTGGAATATTTCTGAGTTTAGCATTTAAAAAATGGACAAAAGTTTTTTCTGTGAGTGACCCATCTCTGTTGTAACAACGTTCTGGAGCCAAGCGCTGTGTCACCCAAGTTATGGAAATGGAATATTCAACTTTTGGAAACTATAGTTGTGATAATCACTGACTTATGTCCAACACAGAATTATGACCTGTGTCATTCATTTATTCTCTGTTGTGTTTCAGGTGACAAATGCAGTCGCCCAGACCACTGTTGACTTTTCTTGTTTTTGTGGCCACTCTTTGGACAAAATCAGGTGGAAATGCACAGACATGTAAGAGTCATAGACACTACATTTGAACAATTCATGGCGTCAAGCAATCTCATTAAAATCAGATCTTAGTTCTCGCTATCGCTAAACAAAGATCTGAGGACATCCCACTATGGGTCGCGTCAGAACGACCTTTTGTCCAACCAATCAGAGCGTCGCTTACCAGATCATGAAAGTGACAGTCAGAATGTGTTTTCTGATCATGCAACCTCGAAATATTTAACAGAGGGTATTCCGAACGACAGTTACGGGTTTTATGATTATATCCATACACTATAGGCCATCTGTAAGCCATTCCAGAATGTTCTTTTTATCAGTTTAAAAAATTGTAACCGAGAATACGTCAAAATGTGTTTCGAAGCGTAGTCGCCAGTTTGAAACTAGTGTCGTAATGCTCAAGAAAGCTGCCTTCTGATTGGCTAATGTCGGTTGATCGGTTAAAGTTCGCGAGAGGTCGTTCTGACATGACCCGTAATGGGATGTCCTCAGATCTTTGTTTAGCGGTAGCGAAAACTAATATCTGATTTTAATGAGATTGTGAAGTCATGTATCGCTGTTGATTACTAAAGTTCCCTTCATGTCACTCAGAGTGTACCCCCATCTGATTCCTTATCCCAGTTACATTGAATCAACAAAAATATCAATTCAAAATCTTTTAGAGAAACATCACAATTTGGGATAATTTGCAAATTTTGTTGAGATACCCACAAGCACAATATAGTGGAAACAAGTAAATGAGAAGATTTATGTGTAGTTACTATGGGTATAGCTAGTATCCTGGATTATAAATGTTTAGACACATGCTACATGATGGACTTCTGTTCCACTTAATAGAAATGAGCGTGATGAGTGTAAACGGATGTTGGGGGTCCCACGGTTCAAATAGTTACCACACAATATGTCATCAGTGATAAATTCCAAACATTGTTGGTCTAATAAAATATAGAAATGATAGTACTGGACAGTATAAGTCAAAGGCTACAAGTTGGTTGTGATCTTATCAAGAGAGCTGCACAAGTTGACATATGTAATGTGTATTTCGGCCAGGTAAATACACTTAACATACAGAAAGCTCTGAAGGAATGTAATTCAGTTAAAATGTCTCCATTTGAATAAACCTGTTGGCCTGACATCACTAGTTTTTAAATGCAGTCTGTTATTTAACATAGGTTCACACGGTGACTTGTTGGTAAGTTGCTACTGTTGATTTCCAACCTATTCCTATAGACAAACCTGTAGGAAGCAATTTGTTCCTAATTGTCATTTGTATAAGACATTTAAAATGAAGATGTTTGTACTGCAGATGGGATGGATAACAAGGCAACATGTCTGACTGATGGAATACATATGAAGTATATCGAAGATGGGAAGAGTGCATCAGTTGTTGGCAAAAACACTTTAGTCATACAGCAGGCTTCATCCAAAGTTTGCAAGATAAAGTTTAAGCCTTTATCTAAGAAAGGCCGCGACTATCTGAGCCTCAAGTTTGAGAGTTTCTACATCAATGACTGCGGCATCAGCCTCACTATAGCCCAGTCCCCAGACAGCACGTTTGAGCAGGATGTGGCAAAACTGGTATACATTGTCTTCCTTCTCCTACAATGATCAAATCCAATTAAGGTCATGTAAACGAAAGCTATGCCATGGTTCTTTAGGTTGTGATGATAATGTGCACCACTGTGTCAGTTTCTGTACATGTTTACTCCAGATGAATGCTTGATGTTGTGTCGGATGTTTGGCAGACTGGGTTATTTACACACTATTGTTGTTAGATGAGCTGATCAAGCATAATACTTAATTGGGTGACATGCCTATTGTCATTGTATCACAAAAGCATCAACTGTTAGCCCTCAGTGTATAACATGGGGGACATGGCTGTGAGCATGTCTGTCCAGTTTTCTGGTGTTTTCATTTGTGTAGGTGAGTTGGAGAAGCTAGTCTGCAGGGGTTGATTATACATGAAAAATTACCATGTACATGGAAACTTGATTTGAATGAATCACTTTTCAGGTGCACCTACAGTGTGAACAGGCCAGTCCTAGAATTCTTTATGCTAAGAAGGATTACACAGTTCAGATCACACTCTCCAGGGAGGATATTTACCTGAGAAATTATAATTTCAGAATCAACGTTTCTTTATCAGGTAAGACATATTTTCTGTTTGATCATTATCATAATCTATGATAAACAACATGTGCAGCCGTCCTTGCTAAATATTAGGTTACATATTTAAATAATTGGTTGCATATTTGCATGTTTTACATAGCTAAATTGAGGCCAGTGTAACAGCTATATGATAGTGGCCTGTAAATAACTTAGTCTGGACCAGACAATACTGCGACGGATTATATATTTATTAGGCGTGTATTTGTGTAATAATATATTATTCTAAACTTGTACGTGAAGGGACACTTGTCTTCATTGTTTACATGTTGTTGTTCTAATCCGCTATCTGGAATTAGCTTCTGTGCCTCCTTTTTTCAAGTCAAACGTTTCCTTTTCAGTTGCTGGGTTGTAATTTATTATATTATAAGTACCTGTAGCTGCTAATTGGCTTATCAAGTGTCTCACACTTGTTATTTGTAATAATAAAACTTTGGTTTATTTCCTTGCGATTGGGTAATCTCTCTGCACCTCCTACATTTGCATACCAAACTACACTTGAAAGGCAGCACCACGTACTTGGTGGCTCTTATTCAGTGTTGTCAGTTCTGGAGGATCGTAAGATGACCAAAGTTCTGGAACTGCAGGCCCTCCTGCGCTCATTTCAGCTTGAGGATCAGAAGGCAAAGTTTTGACCTCCCGCATTGGATTTGAATATGGTACTTGTGTCCTCCATTCGAGTCTCTCCGGGAAACATCCTGTTATAACCTCACCAAGAAGACAATTTTCCTCTTGGTACTAGCCACAGCAGCAAGGGTAAGCAAGTTGCTTGCTCTCGATATTACCCACGTACGCTTTGAGTGTGGTAGTGCTTCACCTCCGGCTGTGCTCATCGCAAAGAATCAGCTCCCAGGACAGCCTGACTGGTCCTTCACCATTCCACCTATCTCCGAGATTGTGGGTGTTGAAGAGGAAGAAGAACTCCTACTGTGCCCTGTGCACATTACAAGTTTTCATCCACCGTTTCTCATGTGTGGAAACGGCTGAAGTCAGCTGCAATACCATATCTTTATGGTTGCATGCTATCATCCTTTAGGTATATGAGATCGCAAACCTTGATCAACCTAGAGTGAACAATCCTCATGAGATAAGGGCTGTCGCCTCTACCATGGCTCTACATAACAATTGTGCTATTAGAGCAGTCATGGAAAGATGGTTTTAGAGGTTCGACACAGTTTTCAAAAGCCACTATCTGAGAGACGTGGACTTCAAAGACGTTCACAGTTTTGGCCAGCTGCTCGTAGCCCAGCAGGTTACCAATCCTCGACGCCACCAAAAGCTCCTCCTGTCCAGAGCCAGCCTTACCCAACTTGTGCAGTGAGTACACGCCTGTTAGTGGGGTTATTCTGCAACCCACATTTGGCTCACGAATTCAGTCTCTAGACTTTAGCGCACTCTAATTTCTCTTGCTGTTTTTACCTGGACGTCATCAGACTCTCATTTTCTTACACACCTGAGGGTGAGGAACCCATTTGAGATAACTGGTATCTAACATATGCGTGAGATCGAATTCCAGGCCCATGATTGGCTAATCCATGGTGATGACCTGAGGTCAGATGATGACGGATACTCATGGATGATAACAAACTCTCCCTGCTCTGCGAGTTTGTTTGTTATTACTATCAGTTACATTGTCTGTTGTTATGTCAACATTATCATTTTTTAGAGTGTAAACCACCTGGATGCCACAGTGACACATATGTCAATCCTCTTCAACCCTCACTTTGAGGTCGAATAAAATTCAAAATATATCATGCAAACTAATTCACATCACAGTTTTGAATTCCCCCTTCTGTTTATCATTTACTGTCATTTTAGGCAAAGCATATTTACTTAAAGTGACTTCTGAAAATTAGGTACATCGTAAATCTAGCCAAATCACAATTCACGGTGTTATTTACTGTGTGTTTAGATGGCAGACGCCATTTTGTAAAAGTCAGTCACATTGTTGTACATATTTGTAGTTTCTTTGAGCATCCAGCTCCAGCGTGTTCTTTGTTTTTGTCTAGTTTGCATTATCATCATCTCCTAGATAATCCACAGATAGGATGACGTCACTTATGACAGTGGTGTTACATATTAATGCGCTACTGCGATCATGAGAATAGACAAAATGCATCGATTCGATGCTAAAAATGTGCGATTTTAGGGTGTGTAAGAAACAGATTACAGCATTCATGCCTGTCAGATACCATTCATTGGCTTTCGCTCGTTAGATACATTTTGAAACAACTCGTACGATCAATGGTATCTGACAGTCACTCGTGTAGTAATCTCTATTTCTTTCCGCAGATAGGATTGAGCTAGTAGTGCCAATCTGCGCAACTGACGCACTATACTAACAGGTTAACCAGACCTTGCATCGTGAGGGTTTATCTAAATTGAGGACTACATCTGAAGGTATGCCTGCTGCCGTACCATCTGATATAGATGCATTAAGGAGTAATGAAGGATAAGTTTAAAAAGTCAGTAAAATATAATTATTTTTTACATTTGTATTCTTATCCTGCATTACTACGTCTAAGAGCCTACCCATCGCAACCTATCTTCCCACGATATCTTCAGATGTAATTACGTGTGACAAGCAGTAATATGAAGACCATTTACAGGGCTCCAGATAAAGGCTGTTTCGGCGTATGTATGGATGAAAATGCACGATACGGTGGGGGATAATTTAGAAAATGTATCAGATACACATCACAGCATTTATGTACGGTCCAACATTCATTTATAAACAAATTTCCCAAAAATTATATTGTGATTTCAAGTGTTCAATGTATATCTTGACTTGTTTGTCACCTATTTTATTGATTTTGTTCAAAATTTCATTCAATATTGTCTACATTAATTTCGGCCAAATTGCGAGTGAAATACAGCAGCCATGGTCAGATTACCGCTATTGATGCTTTGAAACAAACTTTAGTTGACAAAGACATATGTCATATCATAATTGCTATACTTTGACTCGTTAAGGCACATTTGTTGTAGTCACATTTTTTTTTGCAAGCATGACGTTGATGAGAGCCTCGATTGTTCCATACGTAAAATATATCCATCAATAGTGATCAGCTTTACCAAAGTTTGTATTACGCTTGTGTGGTTATTATTATTTTAAATATTATAGTAAAGCTGCAACTAAAATAACACAATATTGGAATATATTATTCTTGATAAAATAGTAGTTTCAGGTATAGTTCTTCCAATCACTGCATCAAAATTCTTTTACGTTATGTACAACTGATGGCTGTTTCCAGCTTAGTTTACGAGAAAATTCACATGGTAATCTTAAATCTCTGCATATAAAACCGGAAATACAATTTAAACAATGAATCATCATGTCTAGTGATACTTTTTTTAAAATTTCAAATTTGTATTTACCAAGATTGTTACCATCTGTTCGTTTAGACATACATGTACAACTAAAAGGGTATTGTTTATTGTTTTTTACCTGTTTGTATGAGAGTAGTAATGCTGTGGTACATATCTAAAATGATAAACAAGTATTATCCATTAACATCCATTCAGTACTCTAAGTGTACTCTATAGTTTTGCCAGTACTCCTTTATTGAAATAATGAGTAAGTTCTCCTGCTGCTGAAACATTATATGGAGCCCTGCATTTATAAACACAACATGGCTGTCCTGTGACAAGCAGTAATATGAAGATTCCGGGACGTCATCACTTCCGGTTGATCATGTTGCAGCTGTAAGAGGGTCGGCTTCACAACTGGTTAGAACAACCTTTTTCTGCAGCTTAGACTTTGCACAGCTTCATTTCTGTCAAAAATAAGCAGTAAATTTTGGAGCATTGACTTGTATTAGCAGTGATCACTTCATAGCATTCAATTGATAACATTTCACAAAATTCTTTTAAAATAAAAAAATTCAAAATTCTTTTAGAACCTTGTTTATCAAACATGTATTTAGCATTTTGTGATTTACATACGGGGAGATGTGTAGTCAGTGATTGTGCTCTGGTCTCGTTTTGCTGACTGCATTCGTAAAACTGCATAGGTTTAATGTTTGTATTACAGACAAGATTAGTCAAACTACATGGAGGGAAGAGCGGAAGGTCAGGGGTATGATCCCCGGCTGCGCCATACCAAAAGACGTTTAAAGATAGTACTTGTTGTTACCCTGTTTGGCGCTCGACATTAAGGGGCTATAACAAGGACTGGTCAGCTCGGAGTCAGTATACTGTGTCTGAGTGGTGTATTCATGTTAAACTGCCACATGGTATCTCAGTGAGGTAACACTATAAATCGGCAACATAAGGTCCAAGCACACATACACACACAGTGTCGCTATATAAGTGCAATAATGTTGGATGTGATGTTAAACCAAATTTCACCTCCGCACCTAAAACAAGATGGAATCATCACAGGTGATTGAGTTAATTTGCCGCGGTTGTGTTGAATTGCGGCTTATTCCATATAGCCAATTGTAAGTGACACTTGACACTGAGGAAGATTTCCCAGTTGCCTATACATATCACTACTTAGTGGTATTTGGGCTTGTCGGGTGATCAGATATCAGTTCGCTATATCCGTTAGTTTGCTGTAAGAAGTTTGTTATGTATGTAAATCTTATATGATAATACAAAGGAGATAAATCAGGGATATTGTTACAGTTCGTGGTGTCTGTTTGTTTGCTCTTTCCATGTTCTGTGTTCTCCTGTATTCTTTTTATTCGCCACTGACACCAAACTATTCATTTTTGGCATATTTCTGAACAAACTGTTCATTTAAAGTATCTTCCCAACCCCAATTTTTAGAATATTACGTTGAGATCCTACTGTCCTTTTGTATCAAGCTGTCATCAATGTCTCCACTTGATGCATACAGATTTCACCAAACATAACATTCAGCTCACTAAGATAGTATCTGACGAGAAACTGTGCCTGGACGCTATTTGATGAGAATTTCTGTCACCCAATCTGCAATTAACACATGAATTTTTTAACTTATCCTGCATTACTCTTTAATGCATTTACTGCTGTTTTTTAACAATGTTTATGGGATCTGGCATTGGTTCACAGACATACACAATTTTACATGTATCGTCAAGGCCCGACACGATCAGAAACCCTCCTGAAGTTGACTTTTCAACTCTACAGTCTCATAGAAAGCCTAATCTAAATCCGCTTCCCGCTCTCCAACAGCCGCTTACACATTGTCAGTGATCAGGGACAAGTAATCATGTGATTGCTCACGTCAACCCAGCAGAGGTCGCCTACACTTGGGTTCGATCAAACAGTTCCTGGCCCCTTACATAGGACGTCGAGACCCTTGCCTATCCGTTGCTCTACATCCGCACCTCAGGAGTTATCTGAGCTGGTGGACGGAAGAGTCAAACATCTTAGGAGGTGTCTCCTTAACAGAGTTTTCCCCGACGTCCCTCCTGTGGTCAGACACACAGTGCACTTGGCACATCAACAACCTAGATTTAAAGGCACTCATATTGGCGATATGACAGTGGCAGGAGCATCTCCGGTACACTTAACTCGCTTTTTCCACCAACAACATCATGTTGGTTTGGTGCCTACGCAATCAGGCGACGACACACACTCACTCCCTCCTTCAACAGATATTCAACAGATCGGCAGGTCCTACGCTTTTGGGTCAAGCACATTCTCAGATGTAGGAACATTCTGGCAGATACTCTATCTAGGTCAGGAAGGAAAGCTTCCTTGTAAGGTGTCAGGGGGCACGGGTGGTCCAGTCGTCTCATGCGCCGTGATTCGATGTTCAGAGTTGCATCCCTTTGGCACACCAGAAACCTATGATTGTGGGTTCGAATCCCAGTTTGCCGCGAATGTTTCTAGGTTTCTGGGTTTCATCGAAGTGGTAAATGTCTGAGACCTGCATCACTTCGGGCTTTCCTCCCACATTAAGCTGACACACCGTGATATAACTGTAATACTGTTAAAAGCACACACGCAAGGTGTTTCTTGGAAGGTGGCTGCATTCAGCATCCCTTGAGTCACTTGGCTCCGGCTACAAGATCAGAGCAATCGCCTCCACCGTTGCTCTACACAGCAACCGCTCCGTCCCATCCATCATGGAAAGTTGCTTCTGGCGTTCTGACACATTCCTCCCAAACCACTACCAGCAAGACATAGCCTTACATAGTGAGGACATGGAGGGCATCCACAGCTTTGGCCCCATGGTTGTTGCTCTGCAGGTAACCAACCCCAAGGGCCATTTACTCTTTCCAATGCCCAGAGCTGACCTTTTGACCTCTGTGGTGCTTGTCACCCCAGAATAGAGGGCTTATGTGCTACTGGCATTAGCTCGGTACGATAGGTCCAGACCTAAGCTCACTCTTTTTGCTATTAATGTACTGTTACCTGGATATCCTGCATCCCCCACACTCTCGTTTCTTTCTGACAAAAATGGTCACACAGTTCTGGTCATCGCAAAGGATGCTTTGATGGTTCCAGGGACATTTTGACCAGGGTCTCATGAGGATCACTTCTGAAGGTATGCCCCCCTTAGTACTGTCTCATAAAGATGCATGAAGGATTAATGCAGGATAAGTTAAAATTTTGTAAAATCTAAATATTTTTTACATTTGTATACTTATCCTGCATTACTTCATCTAAGAACCCTGAAATTGCACAAAGTCTTCAGGTGTGCTGTAATGTGTAAACAGTAATGTGCTTAAGCAAGACGTCTCCACTTCCAGGGTCAAATGGCAGCTGTGTGAGGGTATTTGCCACGCAACCTGTTGGAACAACTTCTTCTGCAGCTGGACCTCTCACTGCTTTGTATTTCTGTCAAAGAACAGCAGTAAATGCAGTATAAGTATAGAAATGTAAAAAATATTTAGATTTTACTAATTTGGTCTGATTTGGTCCTCACAGTTCTTCTTTGTTCTTTCCAGATGGTCCACCCAAAACAGGTCCAAGTGTTGCTGTTATTATTGGAATATCAGCAGCTCTTATTGCTGTCATCGCTATCATTGCTTTTATTCTTATAAAGTACATACGTTTGAAAAATTCTGTCCTGCGAGAGAGGCGAGCGGAACGAGCCATAGAATCAGCCTTGTACATCTACAACTCTCAGGAGCTGGATCGACAAGACATAGGACCTAATACACCAGTGCCAGGACAGAGGCTAGAGAATGGTGCTAACACTCACACAGGTATTAAAAATGGGTAGGATTCAACAACTGACATGTTACTCTTGTACATAGTCGGTACATACAGCAGCCTTCTGTTGATTGTAATGTGACAAAACTTAGTGTACTTGGTCCTTGAGGTGGAGTCTTGCTCACATCAAATTTCGGGTTACCTCCAAGTGAGGTCAAGGTCACTGAAGGTCAAATTATGAAATGGTTAATAATTTAGGAAATTTTGATTAACTGTGCTTTTGACTTTGTTAATAAGGTAGTTCGCGGCATAGGACTTTCTGTTTCATGCATTAGGCATGTGTGAAGACAAATGTCACCTGATGTTTACAGCTAAAAGGTGTTTTACATATGTTAGTCTGATGGGAAAGCTTTGGGGCATTTAGGAAATGGCGGGGATGGGGCTGCTGCTGTTTTTCAATGTAATACAATCCGTGGAGCTCGTTATACATCTCCTTTCAACATTGTAGGATTAATTCCAGGAGATTTAGCGTTTGCTTCAGAGATTGCTTCAGAGATGTAAACAAGATGTAAACGTCCTCCATATGCTGACTAAATTCTTGCAAAACTTTTATCGTGTTTACAGGCCAAAGCCATATGTATGGGATTAGTGGGCACCTGGTAGTTAGTAAATTATCGTTTTCTGCCACTGTGTCTGATGTGTGTATGTATTCCATGTATGTGTAGGTGTTCATTGAAACATTCTATGTACTTGTAGGTGCTCATTGGAACACTCAATTCACTTGTAGTTTCTCACTGGAATGTGCTATTTACTTCAAGGTGCTGTACTTGTAGATTATCTCTGAAATGTTCTTTTTACTTGAAGGTGCTCATCGGAATGGCGGCATTCATGGCACCAACTCCCAGGATGAGAGAAGATCACTGCTGACTGTAAACCAGAACAGTTCACGAACTAATGGCCATATGCCCCAGTCAACAGATGTGGATGTGATCCCTCCAGAATACTGCACCGAGAGTAAAGGTTCTCTGGACTTGGAGGGTGACATGCCCCCATCTTATGAAGAAGCACTTGAAATGCCAAAACCACCCGATTCTCCCATTTATGCCAATGCCTAGTTCAGCTCACTTTTCCACTTTAGTTTAAAGGCTGTGCTGCATGAGACTTTACTCTTCAGGACTTTAAATTTGACATCATATGTGATGAGGAAGCCTCGCATGCATCCCCGCTAGTTGCCGGCACCAATATCGAATTAACACTGGCAGCAAAATGTTTATTGAAGAGTTGTGAAATGTTGAATATTTGTCACTCAATACCAACAACATGCACATGCTATTTCAGCAAAGAGTTACTATAACTTGCTGTGACATTCTACATATCCTAGTCCTGATTGTGAGGCTGCAGTTGCCTTGCAAATTTGTGTTTAATCATTCCTACATTGTCAAAGTTATTCATGTCTATTCATTTTTGTTTTTTTGTTTATTAGTTTCCTCTCTGTGGATACAGATGTTAGTTTTGTTTGGACAGCATACTGCCCCTCACTTGGTATTGATACAGTGGGCATTACTGCATATCTAGTACTGACTGTGTCTGGAATGGACAAGGCTGGTATGTACAACCAAGTAAAAGCCTTTGGTGTTCCTCATGCATAAGACACATTGCATTCACAACTATGTGAGTGTTACTCTTTTTTCCAGCACATGATCTAAAAATTCATTTATGTACTAACCTAATCTTAGCAAGCTGGCAGATACTTCTGCGCACTATGATCTTAGGAGATACTAAAGTTGGAACATGGTCATTAAGCTACCTCCTGTAAAGGGCGCTGCTTAATGTAGTTGCTCGAATTTGAGTTCTGCTGCTGTAGCAGGTTTTCTCAAACATGTGCTTCTGACAGATGTTAAAGACTTCATCCCTGATAAATACCCCTGGGACATTTGTATGACATGTGATTATATGACATTGGAAGTCATGGTCACTCTGTATGAACTAGGTAGTAAAAAAAGCTTGTGTACATGATAACTTCAGTATTTCGGATTTGAAAAATGACAAAACTTGGTACACAAAATCTCCAGGGATTGGTCTCACACACATCAACCTTTGGGTGAGCTTCACTACAGCTAAATTATGAAACATGGTTCAAATTTCAGGAAATTTCAAATTAATTCCTGATGTCACTATCAAAATAGTTCAGGATACAGGTTTTTGATGTACAAAGTTCTGAGGCATTCAGGAAAAGGTGAGATTGGTCCGCCATTTTTCAGTGTTTGATGACAACCGACAACCTGAAAGAAAATTTGTGTCGTACATCACCTGTAACCATGCTCTCTCATTTAGTCCCACAAATATTTCTTGTAATTAAATTGCCATGTTTTAGTGTTGTGCATGCAACCTCATCTGTTGCAGCTATTCACCTGACTCATATTGTGGTTGTTCTATAGGCTTCACTGACCACTAAGGCAGTGTGGGCATTATTTCCAATCAGATTTCATTAATTTGTTTTGTATTTGGTTGCATCTTCATGGACCATGGAAAGATTTATTTCAATTCATCACAGTGATCATGGCAAATAATCTGTTTACATACATACACTGCATCCAGTATCTAGCTGTATAAACTTAAAGTTTGTGTATAGTGTGTTACAAATGCTAAAAGAATGCTTCATATCCCTCCCCTGGTTGCTACTTTGTCATTTGCTCATCACGCCCATTCCCAACGTGGGTACAATGTGTGAAGCTCATTTCTTGGGTCCCCCGCCCGTGATACTGCTGGAATATTGCTAAAAACGGTGTAAGCTATACTCACTATTGGCCTAGTTACATAGACAGGCAGACATGTACTTCATATGGGACAAATAATATTTTAGTTCTCATATAAATACTGTCATATGGTATCATTTCCTGTATATAATAACAAGCACTTTGTAATTAAATATTATCATTCATTATGTACATTGGTAGAACATATGACTACCTTACTATGCTGGCTGAGTGTTACAGGGCTCACAGGGATACACTTTCTATAGCTTATTCTTGATGGTGTAGCTGATATTCTGCTAAAGGTGGTGCAAAGCTTTGTATGCTTTCCGTGAACTGTACAGGATAACACCTTGTAGAAATAGGTAGGTTGGGACTAAATAGGTGGAACCTGTTTCTTTCTGGAATAAATTGTTGAATTTTCTCTAAAAAATGTTCAGTTATGCCATTTTGACAAAGAAAACTGAGTGTCATAATTTGGCAATAAATGTATGACAGTGTCAGTCATGGAATATCTGAGAAACAATATCAGTTGCTGAGGTGGGTATTTCAGGTTACATTCTTTAAACTCTTTCCACAGCATCATTGGAAGTTCAAGCCATTCATATGTTTTGCCAAACAACCTAAGGGGGATAGTGAGAGAGTACTGCGCTTCTTTCAGTGTAACACACATTTCATGTGCAGTTCTTTTAGCATTTATGTCTTCATACATACTTCCTGTTTTTCTGTGATAATGACTGGCATCTGAGCACACTGATATGTACTTTGCACACTTGTGAGGTTGCAAACATGTGGACACGGTGGAGGTACATCCTCAGTGGGGTTTATTTGGATGATCAGATGGCAAGTGTTTCCACACTACATTTAATGTTCTTAATGCTGAATACAATCCCAATTATGGCATGTGTCTAGGTGGAACTTAGATGAGTTTTCGTTTTAATGTTTAGCAGCTTCTTTTGAATTTTGTTATTATGAGGAATTACTTATGAAGATAAATCAATACATTTGTCTATTTGCATGTTAAACATAAGTTACCTTGTACCAAAATGGCATTTTTTTATGATATTACTTTGTGAAATATTGATGCATGCCAGCACAATGAACACATATTTACATAGACTCTCAGTTTGAAATGTATTATAAAACTAATACAAGAATATGAAAAGGCAAAGAAAACATATTGAGTTGGGTTGGGAAATACTGGAGTTTGCTCTGTGCTTACCTTCTGGCAAGTGTTGGTAGCGTGTGAACATGTGAGTCTGGGCATCAGCATGATGTCGAGTGGAGATCAGTAGTGAGGTGTCATGGCTATGGTTGTTCTAAATACTGTCAAAACACTTATTTTCACTGGAGTCTATTACTAGTAACAGCATCCCAGGCAACACAAAGTATCAAGATTTATTGACAATTCATACGTCCATTTCATGATTACACATCTTCATCCAGACTACATATTTTCTTTTTACAGCATCATACAATTTTAATCATGTATATATTAAATGTCAAGACTTGATTCTTCCACATCTGTTCCATGCCCTAAGGTAACCAAGTTCCCCTGTTATGTCTACCTGTGATGTACAGAGATCGTGTATTCCTATGTTGTTTGTATGCTCATATTCTCACTGTGTTCTTGTTCCTTCCCTAACTAGCAGGGTTTCCATATGCTCCTACATTTACTAGTGCTTTTCAAAGATCTACTGTACAAAGATATCTCTTTGTGGATATTTAACCAAGGTTGAAAGAAGGCTGAAAGATTGCCAACATAATTGATTTTTAGAGATACATATGGTGTGTTTATATCAAAACCAACAGTTGGATTGGACAATGGCCATCCACTAGAAGAGTGAGACAGAAACCCAAATTAGATAAATTGTAGTGTAATTATGATCTCTCAAACTGTCATGAGTTTTGTGCTGTTTTTTTTTCCTTTTTAGTAAATAAGATATTTTGTCTAATCATTTTAATGATGAACTTTTTATTCCTGATAACCTCCAGGTGAGATAATACAGACGTTTTACTGTGATTGTGCCTATGAGTTTTTGTGAAGCTGAGGAAAGATTGGTGACATTGTCCATCCAATGATGCCACATTGTTGAAGAACCTGTACAGCTGCTTGAAGTGGGATACAGGAGGGTGGCAAGGCTTCTGGCAGTGAATTTTGTGCCTTTTCAGTTGTGGGTAAAGTGAATGTATCTCCTTGTCCAAGTTGTCGTGTTGTGTGTGGAACATGTAAATAGCCTGGTGTCTTCTTTGTATAAATCAGCATATCTCCAATACTTGCGACCATGACATTCACAATATCTGCATTTTCATATTATTGTTTGATTGATTCAAGGGGTTATTTTCATGATGGAAAGATTTTCCTTCACATCCCCCTCTCCGATTGATGTCACTTTTATAATTGATCTTAAGGACGCTTAGTATTAGTCTCGTGAGAATGTATAATAACTGCATTAGATATGCCCTGTATGCAGCCTAATACTAAAGACATTTGCTCATGTGAAAGAAATAATTTAAAATCGGCTGATAGTGAATATTATATTGAGGTACAAAGTTTATTGCTATAGCTATCACTTAATCTGATATTCAGTGTAAAATGATGGTCTGTAGGATGCTTTCTTATTTTATTGACATACAGAGATCCTGGGGAAGGTTATTGTACACAGCTGCACCTCTAAGTTACCCACTTACTTCTTTGTATGTCTCATGTAATCCTACAATTATTTCCAAGGACAACTGTGTTGTGCCTGTGAACGGTAAGGGACTGACCATTTCATATTCTGGGTTTGGGTGAGGGGCTGGGATTTTGTATCAAGATTAGATTTTTTACAGCTATTGCTACAGCAACAAAAACAGACATTTTTGTATTTAAAACTATGAGCCAGAAGTTTCTTGAAACTATGTCATTTTTTTAACAGCCTAAATAAGTTGTTTTTTTATTTTCAAGAAGTGTTTGGTTGTTTTAATAAAATTTCAGCCCCGATTGCCCACCCCCCAATCCCAGAATATTAAATGGTCGGTACCTAAGATCAACAAAGGCAGATATTCTCCTAATTCTGCCCAATTCTTCATACATCTATAAGTGCGTTTAAAAAATGTGCTCTACAAAGAAGTGTGAATATTTAACAAGGGTGAAACATGGCTGAAAGATTGCCAAAGTAAGGTTTTAAAAAAGATACATATGGTGTGTTTTTATCATTGTCCAAATTGGAGTGGCAAAGGCCATCATCTAGAAGCTGGGAAAGAAACCCAAAATAGATAAATTGTAGTGTAATTATGATGTCTCAAACTGTCATGAGGTTTCATTTTTGCTATTATTCCCTTAGTAAACCAGTTGTTATGTGCAATCATTTTAGTTATGAACTTTTTATTTCGGTGAGGTAATACAGACATTTTTTTGAGATTGTGCCTATGAGTTTTATTTTGTGAAGCAACAAATTCTGCACATTGCAACCAAATTCCATGTAACAAAGTAGTTGTAGTTTGCTGACCTGTAGTATTTCGATTCATGTCCCTATATACACCCTGGTACCTCTGCACTACGATCCATTCATGTCCCTATATACACCCTGGTACCTCTGCACACAAATTTATTCATGTCCCTGTATACACCCTGGTACCTCTGCACTCAAATCCATTCATGTCCCTATATACACCCTGGTACCTCTGCACACAGATCTATTCTTGTCCCTATATACACCCTGGTACCTCTGCACACAGATCTATTCTTGTCCCTATATACACCTTGGTACCTCTGCACACAGATCTATTCTTGTCCCTATATACACCCTGGTACCTCTGCACACAGATCTATTCTTGTCCCTATATACAACCTGGTACCTCTGCTCACAGGTCCATTTATAAACTCCCTGTCCCCATAGCACCTCAGTGAACCTCTCCATTCTAAAGCTCCTACCCTCTCTCTTGTAAAATGTTTTTTGACTATTGAAATCCATTCATTTGCAGTAAACTTTATTTTCTGGAGCTATTATTGAATACAGTTCAAATCTATTTGAAAATCATGTACATGAGGAAGTTTCAAGTGGTGCCTTTCTAATTCTATCAGTTTTAATCCAAAGTTTCTCTTTTGTATTTCTATGACAACACCAGTGTTTTGTTATTTTGATCTGGTCAGATTCCATATCAGTAAACTGTTAATGTGTTTGATCCTGAAGAGAAACATCAGAAAAGTAGATACATGTTGGGCTCACACCTCAACTTGGAAGGAAGGATGGTCTTACTTGGCAGGGTATGTGGAGGACTTTTGATTAAATGGACTCTTTGCTTGTAGTAGGATACCTAACAGACAATACCAAGTACTGAGTGTCTCCCACAACATGATGGTGCTATGTATGTGTAACAATAAATAGTTACACAAGAGTGTAGCATTTTAATAATAGTCAGAATTATACATCATTCCTAAATTTGATGTTAGAACCCCAAGCTATGAGATGAGGAAATGTCCATTGCTCAAGCAGTATGATGTAGTATGTAGGACATGCTCCTTTGTGCCTGTAGTAGTTACAGGACAACATGTAGCACACTTTGATGTCACACTACGGAGTGGTTGGGGTTGAGTGCAGTCAATAAAGATCAACAGGCACACGTTGGCTTTCTTTCTTTTAAGGGACAGTGATGCCTCAGTATTTCAATAATACTTCAGCTCTTACAATGCACCTGCTATCTAACGCTCTTTTTAAATTCTCAAATATACTGGCTAGCTATGAAGTTCACCTGGCAAACAACTGTTTTTACATGCCGAGGAAGCCACCCATTTTTGCTGAAATTTGAGAGAGAGTGAATGAAACTTTTCAGTCTGAGGGAGGCATTGTCAAAGGGATCAGGAGGGGCCCCTGAACCAGCCCATGACTGCCTGGAGGATCCAGGAAGGGGCCAACCCAACACTGTGCACTTAAGACAATCTGTAGCTTTAAGGTTTCCTATGGGAAGTCGTAAGTGCACACAGGTCCTTTACAAAAAGACAGAAAGAGAGGGTGGATTTGATTTTTTACTAATCCCCTTGGGTGCATGGGGCTGATTTGAAGCTGGCAGAACCTCTGAGGTGCACACTGACTGCCCACCTTGACACGCCGAAGAAGACGCCCATTTTTGCTGAAATTTGAGAGAGTGAATGAAATATTTCAGTCCAGATGGAGTTGTGCATGGTCAAAGGGATCATTAGGGGCCTTTGCACCAGCACTTAAGAGACTTCTTTTACTAGAGATTCTGGGGGTGATTTGAAGACCAATGAAATATTCTTAAAATACACAATTTACAAGTTTTCAAATATTATTGCAATGTAATCATCATTGATTGTAATAGTATATATAGTTAATGCAGCCCTATGGCGATCAGTGCACACTATCTCGGTATTCTGGATAAACTTTGCTACATTGATTGACCCAAAAGCACAAAAACTCTGTTAACTTCAAACCTACTTGTGTAATCACTACTTAGATGAAAAGATTGCCACTTTGCAAATAATAGTAATCTTGACTGGGCCCAAATTTATGTCAAAACATTTAATGTTACTTGAGACTCCACACTAAGGTGGTTGCAGTAAAGACTACTGCATCGATTAATACCAACAAATTCTTGTTTATTTCAGATTAAAATGTCAGACCATGAACCATTCAGTTTCCGTCTTGCTAAAGTGTTGTGTGGATGAAAGTAGGAAAAAAAAAAAAATTCTGTTTGTATGGTTATTCTTGGATTGTCTGATCCAGACTCCATTATGTACAGACCTCTGTCATATAGCTGGAATATTGCAGAGTGCGGCGTAAAACAATAAATCAACCAGAAAGAGGATTGCTTTTGTTTGTTTGTTTGTTGCCAAATGCCGCTATATGACGGTGGTCTGTAAATAATTGAGTCTTGACCAGACAATCCAGTGATTGACATCATGAGCATCGATCCACACAAATGGGATACGATGACATGCATCAACCAAGTCAGCAAGCCTGACCACCAGATACCTTAGTTGCCTCTTATGACAAGCATGAAAGTGGATTGCACCTGACTGGGTAGTCGTATCTAAAGAACAAACTGAGAAAGGAATCCAACTCAACTCAAGAATGATTTGACAATTCCTGATTGTCTCAGCCCTTGGCATGTTAAAACATTGTTCTAGGCTCCATTTTGATTTTATTATATATTTTATATAAACTACTGGGCAAAAGAAAGTTTTCACCGACTTCACTTGACCAAACACCAAAAACAAGGGCATATGTGAGATTTATGATGATTAATTTATAAACAGAAATCATTTTCCATGAATTAGAATGAAAATGCATTGTAATGCCGATATTGCATTCTCCGCAATACACAAAGAAAGAGTCAAGGGGTCCAATTTAAAAATTACACAAAGCAGAGTTCATTGAAAAAGTGCATGAAGTGCATTAATGACATAGTAGTCAGGTAACACGTCATCAATAGCGAGTGTGACCACCCTGGGCATCCATGCACGCCAACACACGCCTCATTGACGTCTTCAGTCGGCAGATAACGTCAACAGGAATCCTGTTCCATAAGTTCAATAGAGTCTGTTCAAGTTCCTGTCGGTTCGCTGGAGGCGGTACATGTTGTCTCAGCTGACGATCAAGATGATCCCAGAGATGTTCAATGGGGTTCATGTCTGGAGAACAAGGTGGCCAGGGCAATATGTTGACGTTAACATTGTTCAGGTAGTCTTTAACAATTCGGGCGGTGTGAGGCCTTGCGTTGTTTTGTTGCAAAATTAATCCTCTTGGCTGATGTTGAATAAACAGCACAACAACAGGTCTCAACACTTCATCGCTGAGCATTAAGGTTTCCTCGGATGATAGCCAGCCTTCTTGTAATCTGGCCACACATGCCACCCCATACCACCCCATACCATGACGCCTCCACCTCCAAACAGTTGAACTTCTCTAATGCAGTTTGGCGCCAGTCGCTCTCCCCTTCGTCGAAAAACTCGAACTCTGCCATCGTTCCTGAACAGACAGAACCGACTTTCATCTGTAAAGAACACTCTCGCCCAGTCACGTCGCTGCTACCGACGTACAGTTCGTGCCCATTGCAGTCTGCGTTGACGGTGTAGACGGGTCAAGGCCATTCCACGGAAGGGTCGGTAGGCTCGTATACCGGCCGTACGAAGTCGTCGAAGGACTGTTCGTCTGCTGATGGCATGCCCTAGTGCTGTTGCCGCCGCTGACGTCGCCGTCACACATCTGTTTCGGAGGTGAATCTGCCGGATGTAGCGGTCTTCGGCCGGTGTTGTCACTCTCGGTCTTCCCGATCTTGGCCGGTCTTGAGTCTGTCCTGCCTGTTGGTAGCGGATTATCAACTTGCTGATGGTGGTCTGGGAGCAGTTGAAGGTTCTGGATATCTGACGATGAGTAGCCCCCATATTGGCCATACCGATCGCTCTGTCTGGTTGCGTTTGTGTAAGTCTGGGCATATTCTTGGTGTTTTTTTGCCTACTGAATGCCTGCTCTGTCCAACGTCGGTATTTATGCCACAATCACGCACGTGCATTTGGACCAATGTCTCAAAATCACGTTTTGCACGTTTTCAACAATGCATGATTTGGAAAGTTGCGTTCGAAAATCTGCGTTGTGGTTGTGGTCATGTTGCATTAGGGCGAATGTTTTCTGCGGGGGTTCAAACCTGTACCAGCTTTTTTGCTTTTTATACAACTATTTTTAAAGTGAAAACTTTCTTTTGCCTGGTAGTTTATATACTCACACGCAAAAGAAACGCAAGTCGAGTATGCACTATACATGTCATTTATTTTCAACAGTAAAGACAAGAAATACTAATAGGGCAAGATTGACAAAATTTTGACTGAAGACAGTTTACTGGATTAACAGGCAGATGACAATTGTTTTTTTCAAATGTTAAGGGCTTACACAGTTTTGGGTCAATACCCAAAATGTCAGTCAATACCTGGTGTGACCACCATTAGCATTGATCACTGCCACACATCTCCTGTAAATTGAGTGGATCAGACGATTTGTGAAGGCCCTAGGGATCCTCCTGCACACATCAAGAGCAACTGTGCGTAGTTCATTGGCAGTTGTAGGGACTGGGCGCACATTGTGCAGACGCCTTTGAACCTCATCCCACAAGTGTTCGATTGGGTTCAGATCAGGGCTGAGGTCTGGCCACGGTAGAACACGGATGTTGTGTTGTTGCAGAAAGGCCATGGTAGCTCTGGCAACATGGGGACGAGCGTTGGAAAATGTGTTTTTGATGTTGTGCAAAAAATGGAACAACGTGGGGTCTGATCACTTGGTCGATATGCCGCTGAGCAGTGACGCCGTGTCCCCGATCTTGACCAACATTCAGAAAGCACAAGGGTCAAAGTTTCGCATGAAGTCCAATCCCTGCCCATATCATGATGCTAGGTCCACCCCATGGATCCCTTTCCACAACGTTTCTGTCAGCGAAACGATCACCTCGACGCCGCCAAATTCTGACTCTTCCGTCTGCATGGGAGACACAAAAGCGACTTTCATCAGAGAAGATGACACGCCTCCACTCACGATGACGCCAATTGCGATGACCCAGTGCCCACTGAAGTCGTGCTTGTCGATGCCGTGGTTGGAGAACAGGACGACGTGCTGGTCGGCGACATCTGAGGTTGTTGGAACGCAGACGTCGGATCACAGTGTCCCGGCTAATGTGTCGATTATGTGTTCCTATGGTCTGTCGAGCACTTTCACTTGCAGTTAGGAACGGATGTTGACGGGTAATCTGCCGATCTTGTCGAGGTGTGGTGACCCTAGGACGACCGCTCCGAGGAAGGTCATCTGTGGTCTGTGTAGCATTGTGTCGATGCAGGAGACGGTAAATTGTGGTTATGTTAACGTTGAAATGACGGGCAACATCTTGGACAGACTCTCCAGCTTCCAAACGTCCGATAGCCTGGTTTCTCTGAATATGAGTTAGGCGTGGCATTGTTGACCAAGGAGTGGTAGGCCCAAGAATCGGCCACAGTTTTATACCCAGTACAGTTCGTGACAGTTCGTGCATTTTCGATTTCGCGAGAAATGGGTGCATGATACCCACATATTCATTGAAATGGTGACCGCCTCCGTGGTCTGGTGGTAGAGCGTCGGCCCGGAGAGCGGAAGGTCCGGGGTTCGATCCCCGGCCGCGTCATACCAAAATACGTTAAAAGATGGTACTTGTTGTTACCCTGTCTGGCGCTCGGCATTAAGGGGCTAAAACAAGGACTGGTCGGCTCGGAGTCAGTATACTGTGTCTGAGTGGTGTATTCATGTTAAACTGCGGCATGGTATCTCAGTGAGCTAGCACTATAAATCGGCATCAGTCCGGACTAGTAAAAGCAGCCACACAGACACACACACGTACATGCACGTCGCTATATAAGTGCAATAATCTTGGACACGACGTTAAACCCCATTTCACCTCACCTCACCTCATTGAAATGGTGCGTTTTGGCGATTCGTTTTTTATGTTACTTTTTTACTCGGGGCTTCCAAAATGCAACTAAAAATATTGATAACACCGTCAGGCTTCACTACATGCTAAAACTCGTATCAATTTATGGTTCCGTGTTTGTTACCTATTTGCTTAAAACCACTTACGTTTCTTTTGCGTGTGAGTATATATATATATATATATATATATATATATATATATATATATATATATATATATTTCACTTTATTTCTGAAAGACTTCGCCAGTATCCCCCCTCATATATCTATTTAAGGTGGGTACGGGCAGAAGTCTTATCAACACGTTAATCTACTCCCTAGGTGTATACTTTACATTTTTGACTCTGAAAATGAAAATTGATAATTGAAAAATATCTTGTGGTTGACCTACTTTTGCCATACGCAGAGATTGCTTTAACCTCGTTAATAACAAATAGGGAAAGCTGTTTCTTACAAGTACTGTGTTGGGTGACAAGATGTTTTTACTATGTTTTGGGGTGAATTGCTGTGAAAAGTTAGGTTGTAGCAAAGACATGTCAATGCACGAGGGCTACTGTGCACCACTGAATGTTTCGGAGATAGGCGAGTGGGTGAACTCTGTAATTCGCGTAACTTACGACCTTTCTGAAGTCGCAGCTCGAAAATACAGTACAGCAAATCTTCAAAGACACATAAAGTACATGTTATATACCCCATATCCAGATAGTAAGTGAAACATCGTATCACGCAATGACTGCCGAGACGACAAGTTTTGCGGGAGATGGTGTCACATGATCAGATAAGTTCCTCCCAGTGTTCATTTAAGACCACTGCAGGTTTAAGGGCACAACACACGTCTCGCTCTGAACGAACGCTCATCAGTAGCAGAAGATACTGATATTGTGACAAGTGTTTTGACGGCAGCATAATTATTTGGATAAAGATCTTCTTTTGCAAAATCCAATGTTGCTAATAGGAATGGTGGCTTTTCGGGTGCAGGGACGTCTTTCCAGCGTCCTCTCCATCGTCTGATGTCAACAGTTGGTTGCTCAAGTATATTTTGTTGCAGTTTAATGAATTGGCTGAATATTCTTCCATTTCATCTGTCGTGGGGTGAACTAGTCGTGAATACTGTGCTTCAAAACGGCCATTTGGACAAATCAGACTGTTCTAATTGAGGGGACTTATGATGAAGCAAGGGGAAGTAAAGACTTCACTTCCCCGTGCTTGATAAATCCTCTTTCAACAGCTCTTCCCATGCAGTGTAATCAGCACGGATTTGTCTCAGACTACTGATGACAACTGCGAATCTGAAAGACTTGCCCAACATGGGTTCAGGACTCTCTGGTCGACACGCCATAGTCTCTTTGGCATTTTCGTTTGATTCCAATTCTTTAGTAAATGCCAAGAGATGACTTGCAGATTATAAACGTAAGTTGACCAGTTGATTATGGATTTGACAGGACAGTTGCGAACTAAGGCCAGAATCAAACAAAAGGGCGTACAGTAAATATATCCCGATTTATGATTTTAAAAGAATAACGCATAACTAAATCTGCTCCCAACGAGTGAATATTTCTGGTTTCTCAGAAGAGCGAAAGGGAGTCAGGGAGATACCACAACTATTCACGAAATTAATAAAATTGGTATTACACGGGAGCGACTTAGGCATTTTATTTATTACTTTCCGCTTATAACATATCCTGTTGCGCAGTGGAAGGCGACATTCACGTGTCTACCTTTCGTCTTTTCTACTCCACTGGAAATTATACGATTAATGGGGAACTAAACATGATTCTCTTCCTATGATTTGGTTGGTTGGTTGGTTTGTTGTTTAACGCCACACACAGCAATATTCCAGCTATATGACGGCGGTCTGTAAATAATCGAGTCTGGACCAGACAATCCAGTGATTAATATCATGAGCATCGATCCACGCAATTGGGATCGATGACATGCATCAGACCTATTCAAAGCCGGAATCTTCACGTGTTCGGTTCATATGAGTCGAACCAGAGACCATATAATAATCTATTATATGGTCTCTGGTCGAACCAAAGACGCGTATACGTACATGTACATACATACATACATGCACACATAACACGCGAAAACGGGTCCTACGTCCAGGGGGCGCCCGGAAGGTTTCATCAGACGTCCGGGAGTTTAATAATTAAGTGCAGTTAGTCAATAAAACATGTCTTTCTCAGCTTGGAAAGATCGTGAAAATATCCACTGGCGTACAAATAATATGAACCAAGTAGTAGTTTGGAGTTATTTCCCTTAGATGTCAGATACTTCCGGGTTTACTGGCAACATGTTGATGTTATTGCTCAACTCTGGGTATCGCAAGTTTCCACCGTTAACGTAGCTGCGAAGAAGACGTCTAAGTTGTGACAGCTAAGAAGGTGAATTTCCGTGTGACCGTACCATCATTATAACAGAAAATATGTAGTTCAGAAACTATCTGAAATGATATTACTTGAAATGAATGGCATTTTATTGATTATTCAGTAGAGAATCAACTTTAGGAATGTTGTCATAACTTGATGGACAGTGAAAATAGTTCAAACTCAGACCACAAAGTTCAACAAATGGCTCCAACTGAAATGTTAATTTGTGTTGTGGGGAAATGTTTGTATCATATAATCATTGAGTGGTAAAGCTAAAACGACCCTCCGCAAAAAAATCACCGAGCGAACACGGAACCTCACCCAAAGCAAAAGCGGCTACTTCATGTACTATTGCGAGGCGAAAACGGCACCTAATTATTATTTTTTACTTAATAGTTTTTTTTAAAACACGCAATACATGAAATTAAACTCACGGGTTCACATGCAAACACAAATATTTGTGAAACGTGATTGAATGTGAAATTTTAAGCTGAGGATGAGGATAAACTGAACAGGTAAGTGTATAATATTGATAACTATGTTATATATAAAAGTATTTATAAAAATAA